ACCCGAGTTAACATCGGTCGACCAGTGCGGTCAACCCCCAAACTGACCTTAAGAGTATCCGAAGACCCGATGGCTAGCTCTTACAGACTTACTGGTGTAGGGGTAACACTGGTCTGTAGAGTAGAAAAAACAATAATTCTAGAATGGATACCAGTCGACAGCCGTCTACGGGTTGTTCAAATTAATGGGTCTGTAAGGACTAGAAAGGATCATGAAAATAGCCGACGCCTATTCGTAACTTCGGCCTCAAAACCCACCAACTGCTTTTCGGATAATGAAAGGATGAATTCTACTTTTAATGTCCATGTCTCAGCCATATAACAAGACACAATAGACTGCAGCGCAGTATACTCTTCCTTTAATAGTCAGTCGGATATTTGTCCAGTCGGCACCACAAATTACGCTAGTTGACAAATACCAAACGGGCCTTCTGTATTCGAGCTGAGATTTCATCAGCAACCAGCCCGCCTAAGCTGATGCAACTTCCCAAGTAAATGAGGTAGGATTTCTGCTAAACACGTCCGTGAGATGCCGCATTGCATCAGATTCTTCATCTAACAGGACAATATTGTCTGCATACTCCAAGTCAACGAGATGATCTCTTGGAAGTAGGTCACTTCCTGGGAAGTCAGACGTATCTAAGGTTATGTTGATTAGTAGGTCTATGACAAAGTTAAATAGCAACGGTGACAGTTGGCATCCCTCCCGAACACCACTAGTTGTCGTCAATTCACATGACAATTCTTCACAAGCCCTGATACAGTTGCATGAGTTCGAGATGAGAGCTTTAATTACTTTTATATCCTTGCTCGGTGCTCCTTTCAAAGTCAGACACTGACACAACACCTCACTCTCGACAGAGTCAAAAGGTGCCTTCAGGTCAAGAAATATAGCAAGTGCCGACCACTGGTCGGCAGGAATGTCTGTGTTGCAGGAACCGTCAGGGGGTGAAAATCTGATCGATGCACTCTCGTCCAGTTCTGCTTGAAACCTATCTGGTTTTCTGGAGCTGTGGTTAAGAGTTGGATAGATACGAACTTTAGGATCTTGCAAATAATATTGATCAAACTAATTATCCTACGGTTGTCACAGGAAGACTTCTCTCCCTTCTTATAGACCCGGATGATCAGTGACGTAGACTTGTTTGACGGCACTACTTCTGATTTACATACACTAACTAGTACCTCCGTCACTTTAAGTAGCGATTTCCCATTTACACTTGCAAACATCAAGTGCTACACTGTCAGGTTCTGTTGTTATGTATCGTTTCAGGTTCGATAGACCTTCGCAAACTTCAAGAGAGTTGGAGAACCGATATCTATGTCCCATTCAGGTTCAGGCTGACTGGATGTTGAGCAACTGAAGCGTTGCTGAGGGCCAGTTGAACTGTGGATCAAAGTGTTTTGCCTGACTTTCTAACCGCCTGTCATGGGAGGTTATCAGCGTCCCATCCTTTACCTGGAATCCAGTGACGTTACTAACTGCCCTTTCCGCTGTTTCTACAGCACACTTATGACGTCAGGGTGAGTGCTGTCATGTTTAGATAAATACTTAGTTATCTCTTCCCTAAATGCGGACTTTACGTCCTTATCTTCCAGTCGGGCAAAGACACGCTTTACTTAAGCTTGTTTCCTGGGACAGTAACGTGCAGACATACACAAGCCAGTAGTGGTGTGTGGTCGAAGTCCAAACTGGTACTCCAGAAAGAGCGTCAATCTTTCATCGGTCCTTTTCAACGATAGCTTACTGTAATATGATGTATCTGAGTTCATCGTTGATTTGCTGTCGGGGGACACCATGTGAAACATTGTCTCTGTTTATGCCTAAAATTTCTGCTGGCGAGAAACAAGTTATTGTGGGGACAGAATCGCAACAGACGATCACCGTTGTCAGTTCGTCGGCATGGGATTCCGTAAATACCTTCTCGACTGACCATCTGAACTTTTTTTCTGTAGCTAAGTTGACAGCTTCTCATGGAATTCACCCTTCACATTATGCCAACTGCATTCGGTGGGTGTGCCGACGAAGATTACGAACAAGCATCGCCTAGTTTCGATATCCTTCCTAGTTTTTACAGATCCATTCAGTCGAACAGCACATTGATGGCTGTTCACTGCGTACTCTTTTATCGTACAGCTCAATTCTACGTCTACACCAGCTATTCCGCGGGAGCTATCCATTAGATCTCCGAATATTCTTAAGGTTAACTTTGAAGATTCACTTCAGTGGACAGGTGAGGTCAATTTGACAACCACACTCTGATCTTCTTTGATATCCTTGTTTTTCTATCCACTTGTTCTTTGTATACTATTATGAAGTATAGCAACTTGAGCCGATGTGCGCTGATTCTGTCAGTCTGTCTCACAGGCACGGCACATATCTATGGCTAGAGATTCCAGTGACCGATGCTTGCTTTACGATTTGGCATTGAGTTCGGACGTTTAAAGCTCCTACATGAAATCGATGACGAAGACTTAGGAAACTATGAATGATGCTTCGATGTCGTTGGTCGCCAACTTTGATCGTTAAATGATAGGTGGGGAAAGGTATAAGAGGTTTAATAATAGTATCAGGAGGTGATGGGAATGGAGAAGATAGGTTTGAAGAGGGTTAATTATATTTGATTGGGTCTTGTGTGCTACTAGAAGCGTGCTAGCGGTTGAAACTTCCCAGTCGCCCATCCCGTACAAGGCCGGTTACTCTTGAGGTAGTGGAAAAATAAGGGGTAATGTGTGACCAGAGACCCCATCGGCCATCTGCTTGAGTCCAGTGACAATCGGCCTTTGAATCCTACAATGAATCCCTATTGCAGGCATCGGATTACGAGGAGTCGGAATATGCTATTTCGGGGGCTTTTTCCTAAGCCCTCTTCCCATATGGAAGGCAGCATGAGCGTGGCACTAGTGGCCAAGAATAAAAAACAACTTACTGCTGTCACACCCCATCTACCTTGCAGCATTACGTCTTCGCACTCAGACCCCTACGACAGGGTAGTAATTTACACTATGACGGTAACTACTTTTCGTCTTACCACTTTCTAACAGACCTTTCTGGGATGGTAGGACCGTGAGGGAACAAGCGTTCCAGTCAGTGTAATTCGTTGGTTCATTGTGATATGCAGGCTTGACTACCATGTTAAGGTAGCACTCATCTGTTGGGAATAACGTCTATGATAAAATTGAATGGGAATCCAAATAGTTGGCAACCTTGATGAACACCACACGATGCACACGACTCGTCTGACAACCCACTATCAACTTTAACACCTCCACAGAGTGATGCGCTTACTAGGTGCCCTTTTCAGTGAGAGACACTTTCATGAAACCTCACGATCGATGGAGTCGAATGCTCCTTTCAGATCTAGAAGCGGGTCACACACGGCATTTCCACAGGTTTGAGATTTTTGTTAGTTTCGACTCAGATTCCGAACGCACAATGCTGGCACGGGTATGTTGCCGAATAGAAGGTAGCATGCGAGTCTTAGGTTTAACATTCCACAACCCCACCCACCTAGCAGTAAAACGTTGCTCCCGGAACCCCATCGGATTGTAGCAAATTACCGTTTATTAAGCCTGAATCAGTAATGAAGATGTCCTGGGACTTTTTATCCTATGTCAAATAAATTTTACAACTGATCAGTTTGGTAGTGTGAAAATAGAATCGATAACTCATTCTATTCTATTCGTTTACTCAAGTTCTCGCCTGTATACGAAAACTTAGTATGCCTAAGGTTTATTGCGGAAGAAGACTACGGAGGATACATACTGGATTTCTATTGAAAATAAGTACCCAGAGGTGAACTCGGGGTAATCATACTATCGTAGAAAACCATTCTCTTTACAAACGTGAGTTGTTTTTTGTGAATCGAGGACGCTTGAATGGAGTCACTGTATGTGTGTAGGTATGAAGTGCTGATCGAATGTATTCTATTTTCACATAAATTACGATGATTCTCCTTGAGTTTTAGTTCTTCAGACAAGTGGACACTCATGTTACGTGCACTCTTCAATTATCTCGGAGTGTACCTCTCAAAAGCTTTGGTATATTTTACTTAGGATAAGAACTTTTCACTCATTACTTAGGTGTGAATTATGCCCACAGGATGTTAATTTGAAGTGGATAATTTTCTAATAACCTTCTCTTTTATTCCCATATCTTTTTTACACTTTTTATTTTTGTTTGTATAAAGTGTGACAACTTGAAGTCATCTACTTTTGCGTAAAGTTTTGCGCCACTCCAGTCATCCACTATCTGTGGCTCAGCAATTTAAAGTGGTGACTATTAACCATTGGGTCACGCGTTTGCGCCCCACTCCACGTATCGAGGTTTTGGGCAGCCAGGTGGTATCACTAACCCTCACACAATAGGTGTGACTCATTGCCTTTTCTAAATATTCCTTCATTAATATTACCTAATTTTACAAGCACCTGTTTATTGAGTTTTAACCTAACAGTTTATGAAGCGGATAACACTAATTTTTGAAGATGTTAACTTTCCTCCAATGTCAGATTCCTGCAAAATCGATAGTTAGCACAGCTGCACAAGAAATGAAGATACAGAGTGTGTGGCAGACAAGCATCACTGAACTAGCCTTCTTAAACTATGACGCATTAACTGGTCGCAATACTTATTAAGCACATCTGGGGTAATATGGACCACATTATTTTGAAATATTTATTCCAGTAAGGCTTAGTAGATGTCCTACTACTGGTGATAATTTAACTCTGATCATAAACTGTAAAGATATCACTTTGGTATTACTATTATTATGATCATTGACACAGTAAGTTTTTATTTCAAATGAAATCAGTTAGGAAAAACAATTATAAAATCCACTAAAAAATATCGATAAATTTATTGGTGTTAAGATTATTCAGTCAGTAAGGGAGATAGTATTCGTTAGAATAACACGTCAAACTAATCCTTCCATGTGAGTGAGATCGCAGTTTGAAGAAACGCGTATATATCTACCACTTCATCAATCTGAAATGCACAATAGGGTAATTTCGTTTGAAGATTTAAAATTAGGCGAATATGATAAGATAAATCTGTGTATGTTAGATAACAAACCGAAAAAAGCGAAGAATCTTGGACATGTATTATCAGTCATACAATTTTTGGAAAATATTTCAAAAAACATTCTACTTAGAACTTATTGAATAGTATTTTTGTGTGACTCATCTCAAAAGCTTTTCATTGACTTTTTCACTCTTTCCGGCACGAACCATAGTTCTGCAACAGCTGCACGTTCATTGAAGTCAATTACTGGGGTTTGTTTTATTTTTGATACAAAAAATCAGTTATTTCATTTTTATAGTGCGGTGTGAAAATATTATTCACTAGCATATATATTATGACTCAGAATGGCATGAATATAAGGACAGTGAGCCGTTAGTCTTTGTCTGATAGTTAAATTATTGTAAAATATCTGATCGTGTTGGTGGATAAAGCGTAACAAGTGCAGTGACATTCAGATAGTGAGCCGGGTAGGAAACCAGAATCACGTGCCTGTTAAATGTTATATATTTTGCTATTACCAGTTAAAGTATATGATATCGAGTTATGGAAGTTAATCTGCGACAAAAACAGACTAATATAAAGAGATCAGTATGTGTCAGTTACAAGTGGTCGCATAAACCTTGGAAATAAATTATTTATCTTGATTAGGGACATAACATTCTGGGATGCATACAATACTGGCTTGACCTAACCACAAGCCGTTGAAACGATTACATGGAGGATGTTGAAATTTAACTGCTGGTTCATGCAATTTCGATACACTATATCATATTTTAAATCTTCAACAACCGTGCAATTTTTTCCGGCCACCGTCACTTTCGACACAAAAAACTAGTTACCAAATGTGTTATTGAGTTGCTTCGGTTTTTTATATACACCTGAAACACAAGTAATCGGTCACTTTACTTTTAAAATCTGTTCAAATTCAAGGAAATTAATCCTTTCTTCGCTCCCAATTCTATTATTACTTTTGTGGACGTGAGGAATAGATATTTCGAAGCACTACCCAAGTTCTACTCTAAAGCTAATAGTGCCTGACTGTTTACTCATCTGAAACATGTGTCCTTTTGAAATGAAATAGATTTATTACATGTTTTAAAACAGATGAACAGGAAGCAAAATATTACGACCAGTAAAATGCTCGTTTGTTCACTTCGAGATTTGGCGAAGGGTACTACTAGGCAAGCAAAACAAGTCTGTATGAAGTTGGGAACCTGATATAACCTGAGTTATATATATATATATATATATATATATATATATATATATATATATATATATATATATATGAGTAGACAGTTGAACAGTAACCATCAGATTCTATCCTCGACGGTTGCTTAGTTCCTTGGGAAGTAGTAAGGCAATAGGTGTACTGGGAAGTCAAAATATAAAGAAAATACAACGTTTATGTATAAATGGAATGACCTTGACTGTTTCTAAAATGACATATTTTATTGATTTTTGCCCTTCCAACCAATTTCGTACCTACATGTTGGAAGCAAAACAATTGGTTTTGAAAGACTAGGAAATTACGGCTTCTCATGAGGATCTGGACAACCTTTTCGCACACTGTAACACAACCTTCAACTGATGTGGCTCGACATACGCAACATACTCAAGCCACCGGATACCTTGATGTGCAATGTTAGCTAAAGTAAGATCGATTTGAAAGAAGGATCAGGATGACCAGACAAAGACGTGGTAAGTCTATAAAGTCTCTGACTTTCGGTCTGAAAAACGTAGGGACGTGTAGATTTTCCGGTTGCTTTCCTCGAGAATCAATGGTTAGAAACTCTTGGTGACATTCATGAAAGTCAGTCACAACGGTGTGAATGTAATCACTTTTTTGATGTCTTTGAAAGTCTAAATATTCTTAACAACCTTGTTTTTCAAATTCCTTTTCCTCCTATACATTTTCATCTATTTTGATATCAATCTTTTTTACCCACTTGTTCTTTGCAAGCTGCTGTGAAGTGTGAAAACCTGAACTGATGCACTTCTGTACTAGGTTCTACTTTGATTTTGTAAGTTTGTTGCTAAATTCTCTGCTTAAAATATGCATTAGAAATAAACAACAAAGAAATGTCTGGTAATATAGTCCTTTTTAGTAACTCACCGATTTCGAGGTGGGTTTCCCCTGTCCATGTCCAGCCTTCGACTCAATCCGAGCTAGAATAGGGTTTGTTTGACGACTATTCTCACTTCGACACAGGATTTCTTGCAAAGTTGAGATAAATTTAAATGAATGAAGCGGAACAACACGATCATCATGATCTGCAGTCAAGATCAATAGAGCTGGATACTGAACATTTGGGTCGGATGGGACTTTAACATTATGAAGTGGCGACAAGCTGCGTAAAATACAAAAAGTATACACAATTTTCGCTATATGCCAGTTTTACAACGCTTTTATGTACGCATAAAGTATAGAAGCCATGACCAGTTTGCTTAATTTGAGTTGATTAGTGCTTACCTATCTAAAGGAAGCCGTACAACAATTTTCAGTGTCAAAAGCATGAGAATCCGACTGTTTACTTGTAAGCTATAATTAAATGTCGTTGTAGGTTGTATTTGAGAGGGAATAATGAAAACTAAATTATCTAATCATCGCAGTGTGCGCATTAAGCAATGGTTGTGGACGATTATATAAGTATGCTAATCTACTTCGTCCAAGTGCCTTTTATATAACAAGAGGTTGCTTTGATATTTAATATTTCAGCTACCTATCTGAATAAAAACGACTCAAATATTACACATAAAACAAACTAATACTTTGCCAAACGGATCTCAAAAGCATGAAAATCATTGCTTCACAATTTCTCGCCACTATTCCTAGATTTGTAAGTCTTTCCTAATCAAACTTATTCACTGATATCCATTACAACCGCTTTACATTGTCAAAAAAAAACCAACAATTACCGAATTCATTCAACTCCTAGGTTAATTTACACACCGAAAGTGTAGGTTTAGTTTTAGTTCTGAAACTAGTCATCCAGAAAACCATCAACCTATGAACTGCTTCACACTAAATTAAGGTCCTAAAAAACTGGGACTTCTTGGTACTTGCCCAATGGCATATCAAATGTGAAGGTGTATCTTTGATCTTAAATTTATCTCTTACATGCAATTATGAGTTTTGTTAGAATGAACACAATAAATACATTGAAACTCTAAATATTAGACAAGTTAAGGATGGATGATGGATCCATGAACTATTCAGCTAGCTGCCAGTTGAAGTTAGCTCATTTTTATCTTACTAGGTTCTACTAGCATGCATATAACAAATATTGACAAAACCTTCTAAATCCTAAGCGATTCCGGATAGTTAGGTGGTCACCTGAATCTACTGAACGGCACAAAATCACCCAAATGTTTTGGTTACCAATAAAACCAATCAAATTTGACCACGGTAACTTAATGAGGCCTACAAGATATAACTGTCTTACCAGTCACTTTGTTTTACATCAACTACTCACTTGCCCGAACTTCGACTTAACAGATATATCTTTTAGCTAAATGAAAAGTGATTCGGTAATGTATATGAAAAACCATAGAATTTGTGTTGCATTAGTCAAAAACGTTGAGTCAAAACTAAGATGGTACCCAAATAGAAGGTTGGTTTGTAAGAGAAATAAATGAACAGAATGATTACCGTATCAAGTATCGGAAGTCTTCTTCACACTCAGGATTGCCAAAATCACTCATCCAAGCATGACCGATTGTAAATTTATGAAATCGAAGGAGATCGCATACAGGGACCTGAGCTATAGCAGCGCCGAATAAATCAGGTCTTTGATTGCAAGAGGCACAGACTAAGAGACCGCCATTACTGCCACCCTGAATGTATAATCTGAAATTTTTAAGTAGATATCTTTTTACCAATACTGAAAAACTAATGACAACTGTGATCTCCTCTTCAGAAATCCAAAATCAAAAAGAATAAATGACAAGACTCAGGGCGAAATTCTGTTACAAAAAGTCGTCTTGGAATGTCTCACTCGTGTCTTATGCATGCCTACTTTACTTACTTTTAAACACCTATAACATGGAGTATCTCAAACAACTCTGTCACAAATAGGTACAGAATATAAAGTTGAGATGAAGGCAGTTTTCCAAATAATAAACATGCGGAAAATATAAAGTCTACTTAGCTTCACAAAGGCTACTGTCTCTGTGAAGTACCAACGGATTCTCTTGTCATTTCTTCAGTGATTTTCACTTAGTAACTTATTCTTAATTTTTTCGGTCCCCACTTATAACAAATACTTGTCCCTAATAGTCGTACTTCCAACTCCTTTCTTTTCTGACTCTAGAGCTTCGTATCACATAATATTTCGATGATTTTAATTTCAGTATTTTCTAGACCAAATAATGTATCGTGACCATAGAACTTCACTCGTGCTGTATTTATTTACACATATATTTGTAGTCGACTTTACACGTTCGGTTTTCTTCAACTGATAATAAACTGTGAAATGAAGTGAACTCTACACACTTTCGTATCTTTACTTTGTTTAAAACAAGTGACCAGAAAGCAGACAGTGTCATGAAGAGCTGTTCCTACGAGATGCTCTTGATAACCAACACAAAACAGACGCACCTAACCACCCATAGAAAGCAAACAAAGATATATTACAAAGCCTTAAGTAAGAGAGTATGCTTACTTTTGACTGTTTGTGTACTTTTGACTAATGAGATATTCGGCTGCAGACTGAAAATCATCGAATGAATTCTGTTTGTTTTTCGACGACCAGCATCATGCCAAGGTTTTCCATACTCCCTTATAATAAGTAAACAGGATTATTAGATTTTCATTGAAAATACGACTAGTAGCAATAATATTAGCTAGAAGCTGCATTGTTTTGCAGCTAAAAAGACTAACGTTGAAGTCAACACAAAACTGTGAAATTTATAAAATAAATAATGTACCAATTGAAGTGTAAAACAGTAAATTATAGGCAGGTCTACAACAACAATACGAAAACAGAAGTAAAACTGAAACAATGTACTAAGGCATAAGTTAAGGGATAACAATCAAACATGAGGTGAATGCATTTGAGTCACTGAGCAGATTTTGGGTCAAACCTGCAAATGACATAGAACAGCAGTTCGACATCATGTAAGATTGTTGGTGGTAGTTCAGCAGGTCTAAGACGTATCCCAGCTACTCTACTCAATGCAGATTTGCAAAATCAACAGTTAATATGAGTTCTTCAACTAGCTTTTTCTGAATAATGTTACTCGGTTCTCATTTAATCATAAAAGTACAAAGACTTCAGTGGACAAGTTTATTTTCCGTGATATCTTGCTCAATAGCTGTCCAATCAAAGTTAAATATGGCTAGTGCGCATATTTATCAATTCACCTGCTCCTGTGGAGCAGTAAGCAGAGACAGATAGTCCAACGTCGGTATTAACACCTTCGAGCACGGCTCAGTAAAGTCTAACGCAGACCAACCAACAGGTTCATATTATATGTGATTGAAAGCCTAAAAACATTTCTTAAAGATTCGTTTGCTCCAGTCTACAAAGCACAACGTGATCTTTCGAAGAGTATGATGAAACGATTGCTTTGCTTCTTTTGCGGACGCTCTGATAGTAAAAAGGATGCCGAAAATGTGTATCCAGAAGCGAATTCGCCGCTCCCTGTAATCATCCAATTCGTCAGCCTAACCAATCTCTTAATTTTCACATTCTTATTACACAGACGACTTTCGTTTAGTTCAGTTCACTGATAAATGTCTCTTCTCTTCGTTACGAGCTCTTTACAACTCACATTAACACACGTTGTCAAATGTTTTCATTTTTCACAAACAACTTGCATTCCTATATTATTCTCCTAGTTCAAGAATTATTAATTAAAAAATAACAACATTTGATAACGGTGATAAGTGGTGGCTAGCAATTACAAGCAATAACACAAATATATTGTAGTGGGCGTTGCTGATAAGAATGGATATAAGTAGTATACGTTGAGAGGGCGGCAGAAATCATAGGGAATTACCAGCAACTGGTAAGGATTCCGCCAAGAGAAATGCAAGAAACAAGGGAGGCGTATGAAGAGCGAATCAAGAAAGAAGCATAAGAGGAAATGAAGTATATTTTGCAAATGACAGTTTTAGTGCAAGGGTGTACCATACTTAACGACTACTGTCCCACTTGTTGGCAATCGACATTCTTTCCTGCATACCTGTCTTTTACTTCTTCAATATTACTGATAAGTATGCTAATTAAATATATTTTAATGCGATTATACAGCTGCTTATGTTAATATCGTCTAGGAAAAATCTATTCGCTGGAGTCTTCAATACTCAGTTCGATAGGCTCAATGCTTCGTTGGATGAGAATCAAAATTGAGACGAAATTTTTGCATACATACCATACGTTTGTCAACCGCAAACCTTCATGGTTGATTTAATGTCCTCGGCAAATGATGCTTAACATTTAACTAGAAATCGGTGCAGGCTGGCGTTATGTTAATATGTATTAAGGTTGGAGGGGAACTGTTTTTCTCCTAGAATTGCATGTGATAATATTGAATGTGGAACTGTGGCTTATTGGTTTAGAGAAATGACTTTCAACAGATAAGTCACGAGTTCAAATACCGTTTCACCTCACTAAGTCTGGGCAGCCATTTAATGTATCATTAACCCTTACACAACAGGTATGGTTCATTACTTACTGCAAGAATGTGCACAGGGTTGCTGAATGCATTTCGACTTCGATAAGGTTGAATAGAATTAGCGGAACAGGCATTTTTAATGAAGCCACTCGCCATGTAAACTGTTTACAAAGTGTTTTGAATAATAGTGTGACTAAAATAGTAACTAACTGAAACTAACCCTCCACCACGAATGTTTGCCACAGCAGCGATGCCACCAAAGTGCAGCAGAAATAAAAGTCGTGATACACAGAATGATGGAGTAACAGATATGTTGAATCCACCATAAGCGTAAAGTTGGCAAGGCGCTGACCCGTTTTGTTGGAAGTCCTGCAAGAAAAAGGTAATAGCTATAACTATACCGACAGAATTAAAAGAACGACAAAAGAATTGTAGCTTAAGTCTCTCAGTATATAGTAATTACATTAACTTTTTTTGGTGTACGGTATTACAGTCCAGATCCTTCACGGAAGCTTAAGACCCCTGAAAACTTCCACAACCAGTTAGCAAACTCGGAAGTTCTGTGTGTCTAAATATCAGGTTGGTTACAACGACGCAATCGATTGAAAATTTCTGGATGTAAACAAGCAGGGTCACTATCTTTGCGAATGGTTTCATCGCATCTTGTTTTTGAGGAGTAAAGTAACCTAAAGGGTTGAATCTGAGGTTTATTGTTCTAATGTTGGTACATACATTACCAATTAAAATTGTCGAACTTCCAGTGAAGTAATAAATTGGAGATATTCAAACCTGAATACCTAGCTAGATCACATTTTCCAACATTTCGAACAACTTTCTCATGCAAACAAGTATATTCTTTGAAGTAGATTGTTTTGAACACAGAGTGTGTCGATGAAAAAACGACGGTAGATGCAGTCAAACTTTACGAATTTACTGTCCTTACATTCATAGATGTTCACCAGAATAGTTATGGTCAATGACACCTCTCGTGAATAAGAAAAAATGTAAAAAACATCAGTACTTAATAGTCGAAAACTCTTTGTAAAAAGTAATAACATGATATACGATGTAAGTTGCATCACTTTTACTCCACGATACTTGAAGTTCATTCTTTGTCCTCATAATTTATGGAAATTTTATAAATACAGGAGTGAAACTCACTAAGACGGTAGATGTTACGGTGAGGAGTTGTAAGAAAGAACGATAATAATTAACGATTGATAGTCAAGGGTTGAAATGGTTCAACCCAAGTGATTCGCAAACACAAACCAAAAAATTGGTAATCAATGGAGTTTGTTGTTTCTCGAAGTGAAAACGGGCTGTATTCATAGAGTTTACAATATCCTTGGAAGGCACGGAATAACTAGTACATTTAAAAAGGCAGGAGCCAATCGCAACACTAGCGGGTTATATGAAATGTGGTCAATATGAAGGAAAAAGAGCGCGAAGAAAACAGATCAAATACATACAAATTGTAAGCATGGAATATAAAGGATATAGGGATTCCTAACAACAGAGACCACATGTTGTATCACTTTGCTTTACCATGAGGTTGTTAAAATTAATGGTATCAACACAATCCACATTTCTGGATTTTTTTTGCAAATCGTGTAGTAATTAGTGTGATTGAGTACAAATCAGTTTTCCATTTTGTACTATCCTGATTTTTAAATTGACTCTGTTATTCCATTCAAATATTCAGAAATAGTTCCTTAAGGAGTGGTTAATAATTGAGGTAGTTAAACGCATAAGGAATCGATTACGGTTTTTCAACTTTTTTGCACCGGGTGAGAGATCAAATTCGAGACTAGTATTCTTGTCAACATTACCTTCAAAGCTTCACAACAATTAAAAAAACACTACAGTGGGAAAAAGATTCACAACATGCTTAATCTGTGAAATTTATTTTGAACTTCTCAGCGTATCCACGCAAAATATCAGTGGCAATTCCTGAGTTAGTTATCTGTAAAGACATTAAAATCCAGTGAAGAGTACTTTCACCTTCATGGAAACCAGAGTCATCAAACAGCGTGTTAGACTATCTGACCACTGAAAAATTTAATTACAGTTAAAGTGAAACCGAAACGAAGGAAAACAATCACTACCGAAGAAATTCTCGCTAGTAATGAAGACCAATGATCGTTTTCGAAAGATCTGCATTTCAAGTGGTTTGCGAAGTTTGTGGAGCTGCTTTAGTGCTGCGCACGTATGTTTGAAACAAAAGATCATGTGTATTTGAACTTACTTTCACTCATCGATGTCAGCTGGTATTATTAGCCTTCCCACAACTGGTGTGACTAACTGCAATAGATGCCTCAACGTATGACTGTCTAGCTGTATTTTAACGTAAACGTATAAGAGTGAAGAGTAGTGAGTAATCAGAAAAAATATATTCTACTGAGTAAGAGAACCGTACACGCGAGTAGCATGCAAATATATATATATATATATATATATATATATATATATATATATATATATATATATATAAAACAAAAGTGATTGATCCCCAAAACTCACTTTAGGTAAAACAAGGAACATTGGAATGTTGGCGCCATCTTTGCTTTTGTAGAATACTTGTTTCACCTTGAATTGATTTAAATCCACACCTCGAACCTTTGACTCCCGAATAATCTAACACCAAATAAAAATAAGATTAACCGTAGTGAAACTCAGTCATGAAATTTTGACAAGAACTGTTGTGAGGCCCTAGTTTTGCATAAAATATTGTTATTGATCTGAATATTTCTAACTTGGCATTCTCACACCATTTTTACGGTATGACTAAGTAGTTTATTTTCTGCCTCCATTGTAATGTAGTTCCGCTGATTGGTTCTTACTATGCCAATCTCTCAAATTGAGGACAAGGTCAAATTCATGTGTGTACATATTTATGTGCTTTGGGATTGAGTTATTATTGTATTCTCGGAGGGATAAAATCTCCCATCATCCAGCTTCGGTCTTCTCTCTACTCGTCCCGGGGTTCCAGTCAGTGGCTCTTGCGTACTAAGTTAGCTGCCAGTTAAGCGTGAGTATTATATTCGTTCGGAATATATAACCGTTGCCGACGAAATATATAACAAAAACACATTAAGATTACTCTAACCAACACATAATATATCATAGCAAAATTAGTATACTCGTACACGCAACAACTGATGACACTGATGACAGCAATGTCTGTGTGAACCGGTTTACAATTTGACATAAGTTAGATAAGCTGTTGTTTTGATAATGGATCTTCCACAGTTTTTCTAACAACAATAAGCAAGATCATACCAGTAAATTTCCTTTGTATTTGTAGTGCGTGGAAAATATCAATTATTGAATAATAAGAAATGACCTCCCTGGTCTACAACAAGAACCCACCACACCGTGCTTACTAATGTAAGCACATAAATCTATAGTCAATTTTGTTATGAGGCAAGAACTGATTCTACGAGGCAACGACCGAATCCAGATCTTACGGTCCGTCGATAATCATACAGTATGACATTTTAACGAAGAGATTAGCACTCACAAGACTAAATTATCACCCAGCTGATAGCACTTGATTCACAGTTATCCCAGAGAAACTAACTAACGATCAACAAAACTGAAAAAAACAATCGCAGCGTATCATTTATTCACATAGAAGTGTTGTCTATGAATGGGACATGAGACAATGTGAGTAAAAATCATACGACAGCCAATAACATCTTGCAATGTATGTAAAGGTGCCTCTCAGGCATGACAACATTCTATCAGTAGTAAATAAAACGCAGACTATTTCCCTCTGCACAGATATCAAGTGACCCCAACAATTTTATTACGCAAATGATTGGAGGTAAATAGGTTATTCAAACGACTCGTAATTAAGAAATAGTATATTTAACAGCGAGGTCTATAGACAAATCAATGCACAACTTGGAGAAGTGCACTGGTTTAGTGTGCTACGCTTCACAGTAGCATGCAAACAAAAAGTAATATTAAAGTACAAATAGATGAAGCTTAGCATTAATGTTCAGACTTTCGAAGACGTCAAAGAGTGAAAAAATTCGCGCAATTGTGACTGATTTTCAGACATGTCACCAAGGGTTTACAATTACTGAGTACTATCATCTCGAGGACAGCGCTGCCTAAACGGGTCACACCAACAGCCATTTCTTGATCTCACCACTCTGAGCCTAGTTCTAAGCCAATCCTACTTCAGCTAATACTGGATGTTAAGGTAGGTGGTGGCTCGAAATGCACAAAATATGTCCAGTACATATCGGTTGGTGAAGGTCCCGGACTGACTTGCCTAAACCTGGCACTGCTCACATAGTGATTCCACTAAACACGAACGAGTCAGCGGAGATACCACCTGTGGTCAAAAACCTGTGACCTTTTCATATCTTTTTTCCAACGATCACTTCTCACAGTCGTAAAACAGGACACACAGAGAACTGACGATTATTCTGATGAATCAGTATTTTAAACATGGAAGAATGATTTTATGGCCTACATAAAATATTTTTAATTAAAAAGGCAAAAGAACGAAAGTAAAGCTAAAAACTCAAACCGCTTCACAACTTACTTCAAGCTTCGGATGAGGATTTGAAAAATCATACGAATAAATTATTCCAGGCGTGAGGAAGGATGTGAAATGAATGAAGGCCTGCGTTAGGGAAAAATAATAGAATCAAAGAAAGAATCACAACGTACTTCATCATCACGTTTCCGTCCGGTAACATTCGCCACATACCCAACTGGTATATCAATATCCATTATCTTCTCTCCAGTTAGTAGTTTGTACACCGATAAACAGCTCTAAAAGCATAAGAAATAGAGAATAATAAGTCCCTCAATGATACCTAAAGATTTATAACAGATATCCTGTCAACAATAGATATGTCCTTTAATAGGCGTTTCTGCTGGAAATATTCAAATGAAACCTATGATATAAGTTAAGTGTAAAACTTGGGCACTGTGGTAGAATGTAATTCCATATTAGATTTGTTTATTTGATATAAAGCGCACAGTGATACAGTATTATTTACTTGATTACGTTTCGAGCATAAATTATTGCTCATAATCATATCAATGTAATCACACTTCTTTCGATATCTGATTTTATAGTCCTGTCACCTGATTTTTGTTTTTTTGATTGGTAGTAAAGTTTTCCATATCTCTGGTATAGGTGTTGCGTCATTCCTATTACATGTGTTGGGTGTGGATTCGATGAACAAAGATTCAGTAATTAATCTCTCTCTCCACCTAGCTATATTAGACTTAAGTACAGTGGTTTTGTCCCACCCTATTGTGTGGTTGTGTGTTAATGAATGTAATGCAATGGCTGAGTGTTTTTCTAGGTTATTGATCTTATTGGGGTCTGTCGTTCTATGTTTAGCTAAATTCCTATGTTCTGTTAATCTAACTGACCCCGACCGGCTAGTTTGACCTATGTATTTGACTTCACAGTCATTACATGGAATTTGGTAGATTATATTATTTTGCTTAATTGGTTCTATCGGATCTTTTAGCCGACAAAGCTTACCTCTAAGTGAGTTTGTTGGTTTAAATGCCACCCTAATTCCAACCTTGTTGAGAATCCTACGTATGGTTTCTGATGTTCCTTCCTTGTATGGTATCACAATAGAGGTGTTGATTTCCTTTCTACTTATGTTGTCACTATTATTTGTATTTGTATTAGTGTTATTATTTTGCTTCTTATGTGTCCGTGTGAATTTCTTAATAAAATGATGGGGATAATTATTAATTATTAACGCTTCTTTTATGTGTTTCAATTCCTTATTTAAGTCCTTACAATGACTAGTGAGTTTCTCAGCTCTGTTATTTAGACATTTGACTAAACCCGCTTTAACTGACACTGGATGAGATGACTTGAAGTCTAGATACCTGTTAGAATGTGTTGGTTTTCTGTAGACGGTAGTATCTAAACCACCATCTATCCTTCGTTTTATTCTGCAATCCAACATAGGTAATTCTCCTTGTTCATTTTCTACTTCGTAAGTGAATTGGATTGCGTTAACTACTGAGTTTATGTGTGTCAAGAAACTGTCGATATGTTCCGATTTCAACACTGTAAATGTGTCATCTACATATCGCCACCATATCTTAGGTGTCGGATTATATGTTCGTAAAGCCATATCTTCCCAACTATCCATAAATATATCTGCTACTATAGGGGATATTGGTGATCCCATTGCTACTCCTTCTGTTTGTCTATATATCTTTCCCTGAAACTTGAAGACTGTCGAGGTTAAGCATAACTGCACTCCTAACATGATTTCACCAACCGATGCCTTGGTTCTTTGAGTAAGTTGTGAGTCAGTATCTAGTTGATTTCTGACTGCCTCCAGTGCCATATTGATTGGTATTTTAGTATAAAGACTTGTTACGTCAAAACTATGATATAAGTTGTTTGAATAGTAATGTTTACGACCATGTTCCGAAACTGATAGATGTAAATAAATTGATGTAGCACCTTAGCTGTAGACATTAAATTGGCGAAGTGATTTATGATCCTATTTCCTGCTGTTAGTTGCCATCTAACAAAGTGGTACTTCAGCTTGGAAAATATCTGAAGATATTGGTGCAACAAAGGTGAGCTCCGGTAGACAAAACGGAGTTGAGACCAATTAACTATTTAATTTTAAGTCTAGTTACTAAACAAGTGAGATGTAAACGTAAAATGCTTGGAAAATGTAAAGATGTATAAAAAACAGAATGCAGGGAGAATGAGTCATTCGGGTTATCAATATTTGAAATGACTCTCAACCCAAGTGAAGTGAAGATTTTGCTGATTCCGCTGAACTTACAGAAAAAAGTAATCTACTGTCGATTTTGTGATGCATCTTGTGAATACTGTAATTAAACATGATAATCGGAGTTCATTTGCTAAACTAAATTATAAGCGAAGAAACAATTTAATTTCCATATTACCTCACTATCAACATAATGCTCTCTACAGCCAAATCGAGATGATAAATGATGAGATTATTAGGCTGAAAGTTCTGCACTATAAGATAGCTCATTTGAACGTTAGACAATAGAAGCTGTGCGTCATCTAAAATCATATGATTTACAATCCAAGAGAATTGACTAGTACAGAAATGTATTGGTTAATTTACAGCAACCAATATTACTTTACACCAAAGTGTGACAATCCTTTCACACACTCAACTTCTCAGCAAATTAGCAGTCACACCATGTTGATTAGATTTTCTGCTGTTTTGTTTTCAGTTTCCACTTGTGATGCACTTTTTTCCTAAAGGTTGGATTTCTGGCCGTCAGCTACTTTCCGAAATACCAACCAGTGATTTCCATACACCAAAATTTTAAAATATCATTACAATGATTCTATCCATCCATCATGAATAAGTTGAACAACAAAAAACTAACCTTCACATCCTGTAGGTGGCAAAGAATCAACTTATCATTGTTGACACACACTGCACTTTGCAGAAGAGAATCTGCGTTGTGAGGGATGACATCTTTCCAATGTTGCTTCAACAAAAAAAAGGCAATCAACAGACAAAACACAGATTAGATGATAACCATAAGTAGGTATGTAAGAACAAAGGTTCCAAAGACGAAATAACTATAATTCAATTTATATGAACTATGATCAAGATTTCAGCGATTAGTATTGCAAATAATGGGCTCTGAGTAAAAGGTTGACATCAGATGTAGTTTGCATTTGTGTAAGTCATAGCGCATTTGAAATGAAATGATTCCAACGTTTCACACGGAAGTTTGATCATAGCGTCTTCAGGGAAATAATCAAAACTGACATTTCAAGGATATATAAATGAATCCAGAGATGCCTATTCTTTGGATGGTCATTGTCTTTCTAAAATATGATTAATAATCATTCAGTGGGAGATTTTGTCTCATGTTTTATGGTTATTGTGTGTGTGTGGGTGTTGCTATTCATGTTCTCCTTGATTGTAAATACAAGACAAAAAGGTCACAGGTGACATTGACAAGTACAATAGAGCAAATGAGGTGGATATGTATGTCAGTTTGCTTGGTGTATAGGGATGAATGGTACTAACGAATTTTCATTGGTTTGTCAGAACAGAGCGGAGATGAGTGGTAGTAATGATTGAGGTGAATTTTCCGCAGTCTATAGGGGTTACAACTTTCTTGTGCTAATGGAGAGTACCTAGTTTGTCCTTAATAGACTGTAGGACTCTTCTAGTTTCAGTTTATTCAGCGTGGCTCTTGATTTTGTCGCATCTATCTTCTTGTAAGGACCAGCACTAAGATGTTCCCTTGCCTTGTTCTCATAATCCGTTGCGTTCATTATCACTGTGGTGCTTCCTTTGTCTGCTGTCATGATGATAATAGTTTTAGCTTTGCATAACTGCTTCATAGCAGAGCGTTCCTCACCAGGCTTATGATGTAGTTCTGTGCTTGATAATTTGCGGCTAACCTCCATTGGCTGTTTCACTTGATATTCCTTTTAAAGCTGGTTCGGTTGCAGTCACAGTTTCGAAAGCTGTTAGACATGGTTTGTTCGTGCATTATATATCATTTACAACCTGCTACCGTCAGATACTCCCCATTACATCCAGGCGATATTTTAAAGTCTCTGAAATTATGCTTACGATCGATTGTATTCATGTTCAGAGAAGGTCTGTACCTCCAGTACTCTTAATAGTAGCTAACTCTTTTATGCATTTGTTAAAGACAAATGCAATAGCTAAATGTTCTACACCTCCAAGGATTTGGTTAAGATACGTAGACGACTAATTTGTCATCATCAAACGCAACAATCTGGATGAACTCTTCCACTATATAAATAATGAGTGTGGAAGTTTTCCTTTCACCAAGGAAGTTGAATCCAACTTATCAAAACTAACTTTAACAGATTATGTGGTGGAAAGACAGCATTACATTTAATCTAAGATTTAGGTTTTCAGAAAAATGCATTCTGACAGATATCCAGATTATCAATCTGCACATCCTTTGACCACTTAAGTAACAGTCGCACAAAATCTGATCAACAGGGCTAACCGTTTTGTTACAACGAAAGAGGATAAAGGGGAAGAGTTAATTCAGTTTGTCGCACACACGAAGCAAACAGTTATCCCAAAGATTTCTTAAAAATAATTTAAAAGAACGAAAATAAGGATGTATCGAATCTCCCTTCGAAGAAGTGGATAGACACGGTGATAATTCTATATCGTAAGGAGACATAGGAAGAAATACGGTTCATTGTCAATAAACATGACATAAGAGTCCATTTTCGTGCAAGAAGTATCCTACACTCTAACTTTACGAAAGTTAAAGATGTAGCACCTAAAGAAAATCAACAGAACTGCGTTTATTGAACTGCAGTATATGTGATTTGGGGGGGGGGGCGGGGGTAGCCAGGCAGGTAAATGTAAGAGTGAAGGAGCGTAGACTATGCCCAAAGCGGATTCCGAAACCCCAGCAGAGGTTAAGCTAGAAAATAAATCGGCAATCGCGTTAAAATCCATAGAAATCGGTTACAAAACTGACTCTCACGGAACCAACGTTCTACAAAAGGGTTTTGGGTTATACCAAGAAAGATCGACAGCGGAAGCCCTACATATATGGGCAAATTCAGACAGTTTGAACAGACGAAAAGGAGTACAGTTGGCTGGCTCTTGGCAATTACCAATTAATGAGCAGAAATAGTGACTATAACATTTGCCTTCAATACTAATCTCAACATTATTATCTCTGCATTAGCGTTAATCCACAATCTGGTTTGATTTCATTCATTATTATCATCACCTCCATCATTACTACCACTCATCTCCGCTCTGTTCTGACAAACCAATGAAATTCGTTAGTACCATTCATCCCTATACACCAAGCAAACTGACATACATATCCACCTCATTTGCTCTATTGTACTTGTCAATGTCACCTGTGACCTTTTTGTCTTGTATTTACAATCAAGGAGAACATGAATAGCAACACCCACACACACACAATAACCATAAAACATGAGACAAAATCTCCCACTGAATGATTATTAATCATATTTTAGAAAGACAATGACCATCCAAAGAATAGGCATCTCTGGATTCATTTATTATTTGTCCTTTGGGTTCCTAGTGGAACATACCGATTCAGTAGCACGTCTCCACTCCTCTCTTCTCTGCACTGTTCTGAACCTGGCTCCACGACTGTCCACAAGCTTTCATTTCTTCCTTACACCATCTCCTTCATATCACCCTCACCTCGGACGCCCAACTAGTCGCTTCCCCTTGGAGTTCCACTCGACGGCCTGGTCTGATGCGCGATGTCCCCAAACGGTCTTCTAAGTGTACGCCTAATCCAATCCATCTCCACTTTCTTCTGCATATTTGTTGGGCGTTGTGTTCTTGGTTGGTTCGTTGTCAGCCAGAGTTCCTTGTTGCCTATTCTCTTTATTCTGGCCATTTGATCTTCAGTATTGGGAGTAGATAGCTGTAGATGAGCGTTTGTAGTTTGTTGGAAATGCTTTTTGTGACGCGACAAGTTTTTGAACCATACAGAAGCACTGCCTTGACATTACTGTTGAAAATCTGGATCTTGTTCTGTATGCTGAGTGGAGTGCAGTGGATCTTCATTCTGATTTTAGGTTAATGAAAGCCTGTCTGGTTTTTCCGATCCTGTCTTTGACGTCCTCATCTGTGCCTGTGCCACCGCCTGCCAAGGTAGGTGAAAGACACAACTTCCTTTAGGTTTCTCCCGTTGAGGGTGATTGGTGTTTGTTGTTAATGTTGTCGGTTGGGTATCTTCATCACATTTCTTTTCTATGTTAACTTGAAGTCCCGTCTTCCTTCGCTGCCTCTTCTGCTAACTTGCTAGTTTCCGCCTGCAGATCTTCGAGTTTGTGCGACAAGACATTAGACATAAATCATCATCGGTGGCGAAATCTAAAATATTCTTCTGAGGTCTTTTCATCGGTCCAGCCAGCATGTGCTCATCTTCTCACTCCTCACAGTTTCTTGCATGATCCAGTCTAGTTCACCATAATGAGGAAGATCATTGGTGATAGTAGGTAACCTTGTCTTACTCCTGTCTTCACTTCAAAAGTTATCTTTGAGCTTTCCATTGTGAATCACTTGGCATGTAGCATCCTAATATAGCTGTTGAATGAAGTTGATAAAGGCTTTTGGCACTAAAACCATAGTGTTGAAGTAGCTACCAAACTACTTCTCGGTCGACGCTGTCGAGGGTCTTTTCAAAGTCGATGAAGTTGAGGTAGATAGTTGATTGCCATTCTATTCTCCGTTCTATGATGATGCGTGGTGTAGCGTTGCAATTTGATCCACACATGATTTGTTTTTCCTGAAGCCAACCAGCCTGTTCCGGTCGTAATCTTGAATCCAGCGCATCTTTTAGTCTCTCGTGGATGATGTGGCTTAATATTTTGCTCGCTTGGGTGGACAGGAGTGGAGCATGACTCCGTGCCAGTTCTTGCAAAGACTTACGTCTCCCTTCTTTGGAAGTTTGACAAGGTGGTAGCCCTTCTTTCAATCGGCAGATATCTTTCCTTCCTTCTAAACCTTCTCCAGTAGTAGTGTGAGCATGTCCTCCGTTGTCTCTGCGTCGGCTTCCAGTGATTCTGGAGGAATTCCATCTGGTCCCGCTGCTTCCCCGGATTTCAGTAGTTTTATGGCGTTCAGGACTTTCTGCTTTTGTCGGAGGGTCTGTGTTCACTAGTAGTTCTTTGACTGGGCTGCTGGTGGTATTTCTGGACGAGTTGCAGGTGGTGGTCGATTCGAGAGTTATTTGAAGTGGTCAGCCCATCGTTTCCTTTCTTTCTCTTCACTCTCTGGCAACTAAGTTTCCTTCACTATTTTTCATTGGTTTCATCTTAGTTGATCTCTTCCCAGATAGTAGCCTGGTTATTTGATAGTCTTGTCAGGTCTCTGTGTCTCCTACCTGCAGTCTGTTCTGCTTCACTTGGCAGTGTGTGGTAGAAGTGTCTTTTGTCTTTGGGGGCACTCCTCTTCACTTCTATGTCCAGTGTAGTGTTTTATAGATTGTGTTTAGTTCCTCTTTTTGTTGTTTATCCCTGCACTGCACTGGTTCATCTCCTGTTTCATCATCTTCCTCTCCTTTATCAGCTTTCAAGTGTGCAAAGAAATCCATTCCTTGTCTTTTTTCCTTTCTTCCTAACTTAGTTATGCAGGTTCACTTTCACATCTCTTCCAAAGAGTTCCAGTCTTCTTCCACACAGTTTCCTCGAGGATGTTGCCTAATGTCTCCCATTTTGTCCTGATGACTCACGTGAAGATGCTCCTTGCAGATTCCTCCTTCAGTTTCTGGGTATTGAACTTCAACTGTGGTCTATCACCAACTACTTTGAAGGCTTTCAACTTGATTTTGAAGGAAGGTTCCTTGCACTAGATTGTGAGTAGTGTGAACCTACATCTGCTCCTCTTCTTGATATGATCTTGTGTCCAGTAGGCTGCGTCTCCACTTTCTTCAGATTGAGATGAAGTCGATCTGATTTTTAGTGTGTCCATCTGGTGTCTGGTGAAATCCATGTCGCTTTGTGGATATCCTTGTGCTTGTATACGCTAACTCGCCTCCAATCACCAAATCGTTGAATGCGCAGAAATCTGCAAAAACAGTTCTCCATTCTCACTCATCATTTCACCGAGTGCCTCTCGACTCCTGATGAGTTCTCTTCCTGTGTTGTCCACTCCCAGTTTGGCATTCATGTCACCCCACCCATTAGAATTTTGATGTCGTCATCTGGGGTGGTCTTGTCCGTTATTGATTGCAGTTGTCTGTAGAATTTCTCCTTCTTCTCTTCATCTGCATTATTTGTAGGTGCGTAGCGTAGCATTTTATGATTGTGACTTTTCTTCATTTCGAGTTGAATCTTGCTGTCATGATCTTGATGCTGGAGGAGATTGGTCCCCATTGCCTGAGAGCCTTCGATGCTGTTGGGGACATCATGATAGCCACTCCAAAACTCAATGTGCTCGTAATTGTTGTCTGGGTGACAATATCGGAGTAGATTATTGACTCTGTAGTTGACAGTTTGGAGAGTCCACTTCCATTCTATCTGCTTTCGCAAATTCCTAACACTTCAATGCGATACCTTCTCATTTCTTTTTCAACCTGGGAAGCTTTGCTAGGTTCAAACATGGTGCGGGTATTCCATGTCCGTATGTTTACTTTAGGTTTCATCGAGGGAGAGAGAGAGGAAGACACATCGGCCAATTTGCTTCCCGAAGGCTTTCAGTAACTGGCATCATTTCATCTCCCCGATTCAAGCGAAGAATAAGTTTATGTCTTGTATTTACTCTGTGCTTTGGAGTTTCTTTAGTGGTTGGATTAGTTTCACGGGGTAAAGTTGTTAGACGTTTGCCCAACCTTTTCGTCTTTATCAGGGCTTAGGACCGGCTAGTAACTAGTGAACTAGTTAACTAGGCGAAGTTGGATTCATTTATATATCCTTGAAATGTCAATTCTGATTGTTTCCCTGAAGAAGCTTGGATCAAACTTCCGTGTGAAATGTTTGACTTATTTCATTGCAAACGCGCTATAACTTACACGAATGCAAACTATATCTGATGTCAACTATAGTTGCAGTTTGTAAAAGAGGTCATGACTTAAGTAATAATAGTAATGAGAAGTTTACAACTAAATGATGTCTTAAGAAATTCATTTCAAAATAATTTAGTGGGTCAGGCAATATGAGTGTCCACTTGTCAGAAGGGCTAAAACTCATGAAGAATCATAGTAATCTATGAGAAAATATAATACATTCGATCAGCATTTGATAACTACACATATTCACACGATAACTCCCCTCAAACATCTTCAAATCTGAAGGAAAAACGACCCACGTTTATAGAGAGAATGGTTTTCTGGTGTTATGTTCTCTGAGCTGGATGGTTGAATCTTGAAGTTTCGTTGTCATTCTAGATAATATCATCAGGACAAACTTCAGAAAAAAGTTTTCTACAATAATCTGACAGCTAACCCCATAGTCTTCAGTATAAACCCAGTCAATATCGTCTGGTGTCTTTTCTAACAAAGAAACCTTCGGAATTTCAGTTTAGACCAATGTATTCAGTAGTCAGTTAGACAGAGTGAAAAACTGAGACGAGTGAAAAGAGACAGAAGGTGGTATGACCATGACCAAGTTAAAAAAAGTGCAAGCTTATTGTAAGGTGTCTCCAGTACCAACTGCATAGCATGACGACTGTATACGGGTACGCGTTATGAATATAATGACGTTAGTTTACGAGGGGAAGAACATGTGCACGGAATCCGCAGTTTTGAGAAATGGTAATTTCGAACTTAAAAATCCCAAGGCGCATATTTATCCACTTCAAATCTCCGTTTTCAAGTTAAAAGCTGAAACCTTCACTGATATAATAGTTTAAGAGATAAGAACGATAAAAATGAAAGGCAGTATAATTAATAGAGTGTAGACACAAGCGCAATAATAATGGAACTTACACGATCAGGGTTGGCAAGATTAATTCGGATAATTTTATACATAGGAGCATCTAAGTTAGTACGGAATACGAATGAGTCCCCTTCATTTGTCACATATTCGTAAACAGCCTCGAAACGATCCGCAATCGGAATCAAGTCAAGTTTTTCTACAAATACAATTCATTCTAATTAGTCAATACTGTCGCTAACATAATAAGTCATTCACCATCGAAAGACTATTCTCATAAGTATAGATATGTTGAGCTCTTCAAATGTGTTTGCGATAGTTATTAAAAATCATCTCCACCGTCAGAAGTCATTACATGTAACTAACTTTTCACGGAAAAAATGAACGACTGAGAGGGGTCAGTTAACCGGCTTTTGCATTTCTGATTGAGATGGTATAAAACATGTGAAAGGATCGCCAGTTAATGCTTACTCATGGAGGATAAGAATAAGTGCAGTGTTTTCATTTTTCACTAGACATGAAAGAGCCAGTTTTATTATTTCCAACACCGAAGACAAGACGAAATTCCTGTCTTATTTTGTTGATTTCACGACTGAGATGAGCATGAAATATGGTAACAGAAGTTGAACTGTTCTATGCCATGTACATTTAAAAGTCATGAGGTCCCACACTGCGACGACAAAACCTCGATAATGTTCAACACCTGTGGAGAATGTGGTCTGTTCATACGCTCCTGATAAACAAAATTGTTATACATGCATTTAGATTCTTACCAAACTTTCTGCACAATTATTTCCCACTCAGGTAATATTGGGAAATACTAAGTGTTGAATCAGAGATTTGATGATACCCCCTCCTTACCGTAAATAGTAAACAATGCCTCACGGATAAGTGCGACTAAATGAATGATGCTTTCAGACAGCGCGTGTTTTCAGACTGAGAATTTTAACTTCCCTTCTCATAATTATTTCAACAGTTGATTAATTCCCAACCCTTTTTCGTCAGTTATGACGTTAGAAAACTACTGTGATGGTGTACATGAAATATGTTGAAGTCAGTACACAGGAAATATTGGATAACTTCACTTACCGAGAAACAATTTCAACTACATCCACTCAGCAACCCTGCGCATATTTGTGCCCAAGTAATGAGCAATACTTGTTGTGTAAGGCCTAATGACACTACCTGGCTTCCCAAACTTCAGTAGTTGGAACTGGGTTCGAGAAAAACGTGACTACGAAACATGCCCAATTGAGTCATAGAGAAAAGATAATTCAGCGAAGAAAATTTTCTTTTTCGACGATATCATTTCTAAGGCTGTACAACCGTATTTATAATGGCCGCACAAAGCGCACGCTTTCCAAACGTATCTCTGAGCACTATCCTGCATGGTTGTCGAGGGGAGAATGTAAATCAATTAACAGTTCAATTCTTAAACATTTGGTCAACTCTTGACATAAAGCCTGACCAGAATCTTCCTTCAGTGTCATTTATCGTGTCAGATGGAATAGTTGAAAAGGAATACATCTTCGACAGTTGTGCACAGCAGGAGCACTGGCAATTCATCAGTTCAAGCCAGATCTCTGCGTGCAAAAGAAGTATGTTCAATCTCTCATCTTATCATGTTCTTAACACTTTCACTTTTTTTCGATTTCATTATAATTAATTAGCTTATTATTATCACCTTCATTATGACCCTTGTTTCATTCTTCACCCTCTTTACATTTATCTATCAAGTGGACACTCAATATTTGTGTTTCTTATCTACCAACAATTTTCACCCTGTCAAACTCCTTACCTTCCTCGATATTTCTACTGTCTTAGTTTATTACGGAACTACTTTGCATTCTTGATTCCGGTTCTTTTAACACTAGGTTAGTGATGTAATTATGCCCCATTGTTTTATTAATAGGCTGTTATATGTTTATGATATAAATAAATACGGATTTACAGTTTTAGAAAATGATGTCGAAAAAGAAAATTTTCTTCGTTGAAAAACGTGACTGTACACAAATATAATAGTGGCCACAAAAATACTAAACCTGTAATCTTCCTGAGTACATGGAAGCTCAAACATAGAGAATTATAGCACATTCCCAACTCCAAACTGTCTATTTTCACAAGCAAGTGGTACACACCCAACCTTTTAGTCAGATGAATGTTATAATCAAACCGAAAAGTGTAACTCATATGCTCCACCCAAATAGATACTTCATCTAATCAACATTTATTATATTTTTATTAGTCCCTTGGGTTCCTAGTGGAACATAGGGCTTCAGTAGCACGTCTCCAGTGACCTCTGTTCTCTGAGATCTTTTGAACCTGGTTCCACGACAGCCCACAAGCTCTCATTTCCTCCTCGCACGACCTCCTCCATGTCACCCTCGGACGTCCAACTCGTCGCTTCCCATGGGATTCCACTCGAGGAACTGGCCTGACGCGTGATGTCCTCAGTCGGCCTTCTCAGTGCATGGCCAATCCATCTCCACTTTCTCCTGCATATTTGTTGCGTGATAGGTTCTTGGTTGGTTCGTTCCCAGAGTTCCTTGTTGCTTATTTTTTCTGGCCATCTCATCTTCAGTAGCGAGCGTAAGCAGTTATTGATGAATGTCTGTAGTTTATTGGAAATCCCTTCGTGACGCGCCAAGTCTCTGAACCATACAGAAGCACTGACTTGACGTTGGTGTTGAAAATCTGTATCTTGTTCCGCATGCTGAGTGCAGAAGATCTCCACACTGGTTTCAGGCTAATGAACACCTGTCTTGCTTTTCCGATTCTGACTTTGACGTCCTCGTCCGTCCCACCTGTAGTTGAAACAGTGCTTCCTAGATAAGTGAAGGAGGTTACTTCCTTTAAGTTTCTCCCGTTGATGGTGATTGGAGTTTGTTGTTGTTGGTGGTGCGGTATCTTCATCACTTCCGTCTTCTCTATATTCACTTGAAGTCCCGTCTTAGCTGCCTCTTCTATCAACTTGTTAGTTTTTGCCTGCAGATCTTCAAGTTTGTGTGACATTAGATATAAGTCATCGGCGAAATCTAAATCTTCTAGGATCTTTTCCCCGGTCAAGCGCATCCCCCTCTTCTCGCTCCTCACTGTTTGTTGCGTGATCCCGTCCACCACAATCAGGAAGATCATGTATGATAGTAGGCAGCCTTGTCTTACTCCTGTCTCCTGTCTTCACTTCAAAGGCATCACTGAGCTTCCCGTTGTGAATTACTTGGCATGTGGAGTCTTCATATAGTTGTTGAATGAGGCGGATAAAGGTTTGCGGTACTCCGTAGTAGTGAAGCAGTTTCCAAATTACTTCTCGGTCGACGCTGTCAAAGGCCTTCTCAAAGTCGATGAAGTTGAGATAGAGAGCTGATTGCCATTCTATGCTCTGTTCTATGATGATGCGAAGCGTTGCAATTTGGTCTGCACATGATTTGTACTTCCTGAAGCCTGCCTGTTCCGGTCGTAGTTTTGAATCCAGTGCATCTTTAAGCCTCTTCAGGATGATGCGGCTTAATATTTTACTTTGGGTGGATAGGAGAGTGATTCCGCGCCAGTTCTTGCAAACACTGAGGTCTCCTTTCTTCGGTAGTTTGACAAGGTAACCCTTCTTCCAATCACCAGGTACCTTCTCTTCCTTCCACACCTTCTGCAATAGTGGTGTGAGCATGTCCGCTGTTGCCTCTGTGTCTGTTCTCAGTGCTTCTGGCGGGATCCCATCTGGTCCTGCTGCTTTCCCGCATTTCAGTAGCTTTATGGCGTTCAGGACTTTCATTTTCGTTGGAGGATTTATGTTCACTTGTAATTCAGCGGCTGCAGGTGGTATTTCTGGACGAAGTGCAGGTGGTGGTCGATTCAAGAGCTTTTTGAAGTGGTCGGCCCATTGTTTCCTCTGTTTCTCTTCTTTCGCCTGGTTAACTAGTTCACTAGTTACTAGCCGGTCCTAAGCCGGGTAAAGAGGGAAGGTTGGGCATAGGGCTAGCAACCCTACCCCGTAAAACAAATCTAACCGCTAAAGAAACTTCAAAGCACAAACAAAATATAAAAAAATGAAAACATCTAATCAACGTACTACGGGTTTTTACGTACAAGGAGTTAAAATATATCAAATCTCATGACAGAAGTAAAGTAAAGTAACTTTACATAAAAAACATATAAAACTCATTTTATTCGGGTCAAAGCCAACTTTCGCTGATATATCCACTCCTTTGAGTTGTAACGCATATAAATTACCGATTAGATTGTTTGAGATCGTCGTGGTTGACAGACTAAATGTTTGTGATTGGAGTTGAAACTAAAAACAGGATTTGCGGCAAGATTAGAATCAGATTCGTGTTCGGATACCGACTTGGATAACCAAAGTGAAATTTGGACCCGGGTGGTTTGAATTCCTCAAGGACATAATTTTCCATCTCAACTTGAATCGTCATGCGCCTAAATTATTCATTCACCAGCACTTAACGTTGTACGTTTAGAGGTTTTCTGTCATAGAATAATATAATTTGAAATCTACATTGTCCCATAAGGTAACTGAGGAAAACAATTTAGCCACGCTGAGACATATTAAGTCTCAGTAGTGTGTGAGTGTACTTGTATTGTCGAAGGCTGAACTGATTTCCACCACTAAACCCCATTAGCTACAAAAAAAAAGTAAAGATTTATTCTTGTCTTTTGAAGTGAGAACGAGGATTTTGACAGTGGAGTCAACACTTTCATCTGAAATGCTGATTTTCTGTGCATTTCTGCCTAAACAGTTACAATTCGATTTGCAGATATGCTTCAGTAGAACAATGATACCAAAACTAGACCGCACTCATTTTTTCAACGTCAGTTGGGCTTGAAACTAGACCTTGATCTTTGAAGTCAAAGTATGTAAATTCTTGATTCAATCATCTGAAAAACAGCTGCAGACTATTTACATTCTTATGCATAGTACTCTATCCAGCATGATAGATTTTGCTACGAGTTACCAGGCGTAAAGTAAAATATTGCGTAGGTATCTTCTAACAAGTTTTTCCAAAAATAAATATATAACCAACCATGAGAAGCATAAACCATAAGATTACTAGATTTCAGATTCAAATAGCACTCCTTGAGTTATGTGATTTGTAAGATTTGACTGCATACTTCTTTACAAAACTGATTGAGAAGAAATTCGAAAACTGATCTATCATTTTCTACCCATATATGGTCATTAATTTCTATTTGATGAAGAACATTTACATAAACTGATTGCATAGAATCTCTGGTATGCATAAACCATTTCGTTAACCTAACTAGTATGCCCAAAAATAAACACATCCTTGTTTAATGCTTTGGGCTGTAAAAATTCTTAAAAGGAAGTGTTTATTAGCAACACCATTGATTTCTTCAGATGTCTGTAAAAAAAGATGAAATCCAGTTCACTGACCTATGTATTTCTTATCTGACAAAACTGTTTGACTCCAGCAATCTTGCTAGTGTTAGTTAGAAATATACCTAAACAGCATTTGACCCCTAGTTCACCCAATATAACGACTACAAATAACTGACCTTTTCACACTATACAACGATAAGGTCACAATAGTCTAGTTACACGTAATACGGAATTTTCTATGTTATTTCATCGTACGTTATCGTTGAATTACGGATCAATGTAATGTCACTAGACTAACAAAATTATTGCATAACTGCTTACTCGTGATATTCCAGTTGATTTTCTTAAGATCACAGTAGAAAAGCTGGTTATTAGGTTCGCATCCATCATATAAAGTAACTAGTAGATATTGTCCGCAATCAGAAACTTCTCCTTGACTGGAATTTTAAAATGGAAATAACGTATTAAAGTAATTTCCTGTCCAAAAAACCAGACCAGTGAAACAAAATGATAGAATATACTGCTTTCTGTGTAATATATTTTAGTTGTCAGACATCAGAACGCTCTCAGTTCCTACAAGGTGGATAAATCATCAATGGAAACACCACAATGACGTATACTAGCGTAAACGAAAAACAATTAAGTGTTAAACATCACACACAAAGGGATTCTCATCAGGCTATTATTGTATTCAACCACCTTAGAAATTTTTAACCAGAAATTGATGCTGATCGATCGAAAGGTGAAATTTCGCATCTATAACTTGTGGAGAGCATGGCACTTTTATCACCTTTCCGTTGAAGTTCCCCAGAAATCTATATTTTGTTGAGAAGCAACATTTTTCCGTACATTTGCAGTAAATCACAGAAATTTACTGATGGAGATTAACTCCTGAAAAAGCCTTAGAGGAAACTGGTGATGAATTCAAATAAGACGAAACTTGAACATTCCAGTCAGTGGATTTGAGTCTGAAAATCTAGGGAAGCGAAAATACGATTTCCCCTAGTTCTGTTTCATAGCTTAAGCTGTATATTGGGTAACCGTAGATATTAATCTCTTACAAATAAAAGTCAGCTAAGTTAATTCAATTTTGGTTACTCTTCAAAATGATTCCTGTCCTTTCTTCTGAACTAAAATAACGTACGCTTGAAGAGACGAAAACATATGCCTACACTTTGACTGGTACAACTAGTATTCGAATTAAATCTACTGTTGATCTGCCCAAAGTGGAACTAAGCGGTAAAGAAGTTAAGGTCTAACAAATCTAACTAAAAAGACCTCTGAAACGGTTTTTACCTTGTCAAAAAACGCCTTTCTGACAACGGATCAAGGATTATCTATATGATTGTTCTCCTGAATACCACGTTCCTTATAATAGCCGTATTAGTCACCGATCTATTGTTCTTTCTCAGTTATGTAAGGATTTATTTCCAATTATTGCCAGGAACAATTACTCAATTTCCTGGTCAAATTAGGTTATAGTTCGTTCAGACATTAAATATACCTACACACATCCTTTCGGAAATCATTCTAAACCAACTTGTTGAGAATTACTATTCCTTCTTAAATGTTAGTGGTTCGTAACGGACTTCCTATAACAATTCATATCAGACTGGTTATGCTGTCTGATCTTTACAGTACAAATATTTATTGTGGTGCTTAACGACCTGTCAAGTCAATTAACCCAATATCCATTCTTGGTACTAATTTTCTAATTCCGCTTAAACAAACCTTCTGGTCATAGGTCAGGTATAAACACATAAGATCAACATAGGACCAGACATTACTGCGTAGCGGTCTAAGTTGCTACACATTGTATCAGCACGTCAAGCAAAAAAGCAATAAGATGGAAGAAAAAAGCAGAAAAGAAAGCAATCAAAAGTGGTAGAAAGTCGCAGCATAACATAAGCAGGAACAAAAATTTACTGGATTCATTGCGACGATTAAGATGAAGATAATACGTGGATAAATTTGCGCCAATGACATTGATTCTGAGCCATATCACCTAGAATCTCTGACCATAATCCTCGCTGTCACGTGGAAAACAACCGGAAAGTCTGCACTTACCTGCACTACTTACACCAATAGTCAAACACTTCACGTACTGATGCCAGCCATGTTTTAATCTAACCACCTCTTACTACTTTCCAGCCTGAAAATACTTCAGCTAACAATGTCTGACTAGGCAAAAAATAACTAGCATATGTAACACATGTATCAATCAGCAGGGTAGATGAAGGTTCACGACCTTATCAACTGACTTTTATCTTCCACCATCACCCCACTCCTCCCCTAAAAGTCTGCGCCTGACGTCCACGTTAGTAACCTGGTTGACACCACGACACACTGTCTATAATACAAACGTAAAGGTGGTCAAACACCTCAAGCCTCTTCATGTCCTTCACGTTTAGTGGCCGTTTCACAACTAAACCATAAAACAGAGCGGACTGCAGTTCAGTACGGTGGCATAAATGGTATAACTTGGCGAAAACCAAGCCAACCTTTTGGATTCGTACACGAGATTTCATCCGTCACTGGTCTACCAGGCTGAACACACTTCCCAGGTAAGTGAAGTGGTCAACGCGTCCAGTCATCTCACTCCCTACTGTTAGACAAAACACCACTGACGACAAAACCTGGAGCAAAAATTTGCATTAGGCCGGAGAGAAACGCATCCCAAACATTCTTTCTCCTGTGATAAGATCCATTTCTGTAAAGTTAGACGACGAGAGGGAGACCTCAATAAGTACTCTTTTGATAAAGTTGAATAAGAATGGAGAGAGTGAATACCCTTGACGAACTCCGCTTGACCTACACAACTCTGATAACTCACAATATGGCTGTAACACGATCAAAGGTGTTGGGATACAAAACCTTAATTATACTGATGTAACTATTAGGCACTAATTTCAGTGAGATAAATTGACATAAGATCGCTTAATAGATGGAGTAGAACGTCACCTTTAGGTCACAAAACAGCTATTGTTGTGCCGGTGATTGCGCCAGTTACTGGAACGGGTTAATACACCCACGACCGGTTCTGAACCTGCGTGATTTTCCTGGATGCGTTGCTTCTGAGTTCCAATTAGGCGGGTAATGAATATACGACCTAGTCATCAAACTGATTCCAATGTGGTTGTCACATGGGAAATTTTTCTCGCTGATTGAAGTCTTGGACCATTAGTGGTTGAGACCAATACGAGAGGCCTATATCTGACTCCCATACGCCAAGCTAACACAGGTGACTCTAACTAATAACCCGTTTTCAAATATTACTGATATTAGCCCGTCAGGGCCTTCTCTCTTTCCTCGTTTCAGGTTACTTACAGCCTCCATAAGTTCTTCAAAAATTGGAGGGACTGTTTCCGTGTTACATTCAGGGCCCGGTTTAATAGCGGACAATGAAATAGTGCTTGAAGGGTTGGTTTGAGCTTTGACCTCATCAAATAATGAGAAGTAATTATTATTGACTGATGGTAAACTTATTAATTAACTGATTAAACCAAATAATGTGGCATATGAATGTTTTCGTTTAACTGGTAAACAAGACTACTATATTGAACACTTACATAGACCATGTAGGGTGATCTGGACACTCTGAACACAATATGTCAACTGATTGTGGTGTTCCCAAACGGTGATACATAAGTTTCTGATCCGTATTTGCAGTTGTTTCAGTACCATCTGCTTTACCTTCATGTTGAGGGTACATACAGTAGAATACACCTTTCTCGTCCTTTGTCCATGAAATTGAACTGAATTTTACTTGTCTTAAAATGTCCGGTAGGTCTTCTCCCGTTTCACAGACTTTGAACTGAAGACTTGTTATGAGAATGTTTTCTTACTTTAAGTTCAGACCAGTCAGAACCACCAAAACTGATGCCATAGCAAAAATAAGTTCCTTCTTCTGAAAAACTACAGTTTCTCATAGACGTAAGGCCTTCAGGATCAACTTCGTTAAGGTCTAAAAACTTTTTTGTCGATCCTGACAACGTCCTCATTTGATAAAGAACACTAGCAAATACATTTTCATCCAAAACGCAAAATACCTTTGGTTTTGTAATCCACTGTTGTACCGCAGATAGTAAAAAGAACCATATTTTATTGGGCAGGAGTACTTCTCGTAGTCCCAGATAGCAGTCAGTCTGAAAATACTAATTAGAAGGTTGAAAACTTGCCTGTCTCTTATTTTAGAAGTGCAATTACACACGTTGAGAAACTTTTCCGTTATCAGATTCTGAGCTTTGACAAAACCCTTTGTTTGCAGAGAATCTGGATCTTCCAACCATCTATAGGGATCATGAACCTAATAAGCGAAAAACATGCAAATCGTCCCTTCAAAAGTAAATAAGGCGTTAAATGAATTCTGACAATTTATAGGTATAACCGATCATTTCCCAGGAATTAGTAGTCTTACAATAGGCGATGAGGAATGAAAGTGCGCATTATTTGATATTTTTTACCCAATATTTTTTTAGTTCTGAACACCCTCGGCTCAATATAGGAATCAAGAAATGCATCACAAAATATAAGGCTTAGCTCATCTAACTGGTACAGGTTTGTGTGCTGAGCTACAAATCATACAATGCGTAAGGGTCTATGATAGTAACCAACTGCCCAAACCAAATTAGGTTTAATGGGGTTTGAACATGGAACTCTGCTTGAAAGCTGAGCAGTTAGGCTAGTGAGCCACAGCTCCAAACTTTACTCAATAAGGTGGTCATATTTAGAAAAGGAACTCAACAACAGAACTAAAGATGGATCGAATGGTACTATCAAATACTGTCACATCATTTAATTGTTTATATAAATTGACCGAATTTTCTACAATAAAAAAGTAGGGATCAAAAGAAACCCGATGCAAAGTGACGATAAATTAGTAGTACCTGTATTCTAAGGAAAAACTAAACTACTTCAAAGACTAACAGCCATCTACTGAATAAATCTGCTAGAAGCTATTTGTAAATAAAACAACTATCCTTGATCCCAACATTTCACTTTTGTTCCTAAAATGAATGTGACTACACAGACAGACAAACAAATCAACACAGAAATTGGCACGAAAGTGCTCCGATTCAAGTTTCTACACTTCACATTACGATGGAGAAAAGTTAAATTGAAGAAGACAAAAGTGAGTGGGAGGAGAGGAAAGTTGTAAAATGAAGGTTAGTAGAAATGTCCACACTTTTAAAGACTTCAAATAGTGAATGCATTCATGCCATTGTGACCCGTTTTCAGATGTCACTAAGAGTCTACAACAATTGATTCCTAATATCTCGAGGACCTCTTAACACGGTTCAGATCAAGTCAAACTTCATGGACTGATGCCAGTCATGGTCTAACCACCGTAGGTGTTTTTTTAACTCAATTCTACTTTGGCTAACATTGCACGTCTAGGAGGGCAGTAGCTAGACATACACGCCCAATCCATTTAAGATTCATAACGCCATCACAACTACACTAAAACAAACAACCAAGTTTGTTCTCCCAAGAAAATGAAGCTATTGCATTATTTAATGTCACTGAAATCAACTTTGCTTAGTCTTCTTTGAGAGCATGGTGGTAGGAATTCCATGAGCACGTCACACCTTTCGCTTATACACCACACTGAGTAGGAAACAATTACAAACTGTCAACCATTATTTATTGATACTTGATAAGAAACGCACGTCCTGGATTCCCCTGCCAGCCATCACCAAATAAATTATACAAGCTATCAAGTTTCAAATTAAAGATAATATCTGACAATACTGAAGTGTTACGCATACTTTATACTGAATTCAAGAGAAGCATCTTGTCAACCAATTGTTCGAAACAGACAATTCTATATATGATTGGATTTTATGCACAAATGTCCGTACCGGAAAATTTTACCTAGGAAGTATAATTTAAAACCTGTTAAGATTAGCGGCTATTCAGTATAAAATATGATAGTAACGACTGCCTCACCTTAACGCCAAAATGTTCCTCGACAATGGACTCGTCTTTATAAACCTCGGGGTATTTGATACTGAAATGCTTCATTTGAACTAAAAAGAAAATAATTATTACGGTCACTTCGATTTACTAAATGGCGTCAATATTCTTAACTTTATTTCACGACTATTTGTATGTCATTGATGGCTGCTAATTACATAGAGAAATGAAACCACTCTCAAACATTTTTGGTAGATAATATTTTTGGCACCTACTTACTACTTTTGGGACTACAAGCCATTTATAAGTTACAAACTTCACCAGCGTACATCATAACACGCGTTAAGACCTAAATTTATCAATGAAAACAAGCCAAGTACTGATTAGTACGTAATCTTAGACGTTTGTGGTCACAAACAACTTGGAACTGAAAAATGCAGTATTTAGTGAAGAAAAAAGTGCAAATCAATACTGTGCTGTGTATATGCACGTAAATAAAGGTGCAGTTTTGAACCGTTTGTGGAGTCATGAAAATGTCATCAAATGCTTACACAATGCAACTGCGCCCGATTGCAGGTAACGCGTTATTCTAATAAAGATGGATAACAATCGGTATACAGTTAACTAAATTGTGCGGACCAGGTCAATTATGAAACTAATGGTTTGAGCGATTCGAAATGACAAAATGGCTGAGTTAACGACAACTTTTAGTTCAAAAGGGATGTTGGGGGTAAGAATAATACACAATAATAATACATGTAAGATGCATGGTTACTACTAGCGGAATAGCGAAAGTGCAGAGATATACAAATCTATATGGTAAAACTACAATGATTAGTCAGAATCGAATTTTAAATTGGCCGATAGCGGGAAATAACCCATAAATTCCATTCTGTGAATAGCTAAAATGTCATAGAAGGATCTTTGAGTCAGATATAGAAGTAGGAGGTGGGTTTAGGGACTCGTGGTTTAGAAACTAACTTAGGAGGTACGATTAAGTGCTGTCTTTTTGAATGTCAGGGTTTGGAAACAAAAATTCGCAACATAAAGAATCAGAGTTGGAATTAGGAGAAAATATACGTATTGCAATTTAATTAGGATATTTTCACAAGTTATGTGGAAAACTGTGTACACAAGTGAAACAAACGTTATTCAAATAGCTAATAGTGACTGTGTAACAGCTATCACACCCCACAGCAACATGTACTGGAACAAAACAAAAGATAATAAAACCACAATAACGCTTAAAAAACACTTAGAGAAAGTCATAGAGAAGTAAAATCAAATAACGAAATGTGGTACAACAGTTAATATGAAGCTAAGGCATGAACACATCTGCGCTACTGAGACAGATTTTTAGTCAGACAATCCAGTCTTGAATCCTCGGTTTCATTAGTTATGCGAACCCCAACCCAAAAGCATGTTTCACTACATAGTTCATAAAAAGCGGTTAGATTTCACTAACTTTAAACCTTGTTCTGTACACAATTAACAATATTCCTAACTCTTTCGGCTAGTATAGTGCATCAAGAGGAACATACAAGATGTGACTACACTTATTTGCGCATGGAAAAATCGAAAACAATCATATATCCGAGTGCATTTTGTCTGGGACTTCTGTGTAAATATACCATACATTTGGTTAGTGAAAGCTCACATATATAGAGAGTTCGAACCAAATGATTAACCACTACATCTACCACGCTTACCTATGGCTGAAGGTTTAGACCTATAGAAGTCCTACTATTTAATACAATCAACCAGATATGAACAGATTGGCTAAAAGCAGCTATTCACTACTATTATTATTGTCTTTATTATTATTGACGACTTATTAGTACAGTAGATGGAGGACATCATGAAGTTTGCAGAACTTTGATGAGGACAAACAGAGGAGGACGCTGCTTCTTGATAACTACACCCTGATGTAGGTATTTAACACCCTTCTCTCAGATACAGAGCTGCACTGACCTCCCACCCTAATCTCTCCCAGCCTAATTTAACGTGTGTAACTAATTGGTGCAGGTCAGATGCTGCGTGAACCGTGAATCCCTCCCATCAGTCACAATATTTAATTTACATACATTTGTTCAGTTGCTCAACCATGTCTTAATATGATAAAGTATCAAATGTTAGTAATGCCAGGAGTTAGTTAAATATTTTAGTGCCATCAGCTAATATCTCCATCTTCTCTTGTTGACTATAACGTGGTTATAAGAAGTATGTCAACAGGCGCAAAATCATTCCTACCGAATACATTAATAACGACCCAGTTCCGCTTTCTTTCTCTGCGTTAGCTTCTATATGTTTTGAAAACAGTTGTCTTATGATTTTATTTGTGAACAGGAAAGTAGATTCTCTACAAATCACTGCAGAATTACCACAACAGAATGAATAATATCAGCAATTAAATGAGTAGAATCGATGTTCCATTCATTCTATGGATAGAAATAGTAATTTGTTTTTTCATAGTAGTTGAGGCTGAGAAAATAACGTTTTTCATTTCAGTTTTTTCCTCTTTATTTAAGTGCAGTGTATGTGAATAATACACTAAGCTTGAGCAATAATAACGTCATTATTTCTACTACCATAATCGGTTCGATAATCATACTGAATTATTCTCTTTCCTATGACTATGATTTCATCCTGTTTATTAAGGTTTTCTGCATCACTTTTTTCTCCCCTGAATCTACCTAGCGTTCTTCTTCTATTCCGTCCCACTTCTATTTACCTTGGTTTTTATAGCACTTCCACTCTCTTGACTTAACGGGACATTTTTCTTCAATCACGTCTTTTTGTGCAACCAGTTTGAACAACTGCCTGCTGTGAAGACGTTTAAGTAACCGATCTGCACCAGTCTCTGGGCAAATATTTGTCTGATATCGGACAATCCTCACAAATCTAATCAACACCCAACCACCCGTCGGACTAATCATAACCACAAAAAGCGAGCGGGCTGATTTACTGCATAAGAATCCACCAAAGAACTGTAATTGTTCCGCAAGACCTGGACGCAACGCGAAGAAATCAATTAGCTTACACTGGCTCATAAAAAAGATAGTGGATATACACATATTGCACACTTAATATTTATTTCTCATGCACCGTATACGGAAACTATACTCGCTCTTTTCAATGATAAATAAAGGATCAAGCGCAAACATAACATTACCGAGGAGACGATGAACACCCAGCGAAAAACACTCTTTTTGATAAATTCTGAGGAAAGCGCTAGTCATTTGCAGGTCACCAAAAGATCTGATAAAACAAATTTACCTGAACTCCGGATCCATTTTCTTTAATATGAACTGATGTGAATAAACAGACTTATTACCTTTTCATTATGGAAACCGCAGAATTACCTTCCAATTGCAACATCTTGAAATCTTTGCGTTATAGACGTTTTTCATTTCTGGGTTCCCTAGCACAAAATTTCAGATTTCCAGCTTGAGGATAGAATGTTACGGAACCTTTTGTAGCGTCACACACTTCTTCAAAGTCAATAGCTTAGGGTTTGTCGGGATTCAACATTGACGCTGACCTTGATAGTTTAACTGGACTCGCTAAGCTGAAAGCACCCGGTCAAGCATCCTCGCCATTTGGCACGCCGTCATGTTACGTTGCACTGCTCATGATCGATTCTCTAGCCAGTTACTTGGGACGCATCGGTATCTTGGCACAACCATCCAAATACACTATTCCATCCGACTACACTATAGTGTTCTTTCTTGGTCTCATATTCGTGGGTATGTAATAAGTCCGAATAATTAGTGATTGGTCTTTGCGTCTGTCAAGTTCGCACCAGAACAATTCTTAAGTTTTCCAGTCTTTTTCCGGTAGATTTTTTTTCTTACGAGTTCTATTTCAGGCGAGTAAATTCACAAATATTGCTGCTAGTCTACCCGAATAACCAAATCTCAGCGGAGATGACATTCGTCTCTAATCACTGTGGGATTAAAGGAAGAGGTTTGGCTCTGTCACCGATGTTTAGACTTCTTATCACAAGGATCACATGAGTGACCGCCCTCTGACCATTTTCCAAACGGTTGTATTCATCTTTCGAGCAAGCAGAGGCCAACTGTGCATACACTTGCATTCAGGACCCAACTGAAGCTGCACAGACATCACGGGTATATCACAGCTGACCGCAACACAAGTTCTAACTATTGCCCAAAGTGTTTGAGAACACGGCCATGGTTAGCCGCTAGTGCATTGTGCCTCAGAACAAACGACTTACTGCTATTCTTATGTCCTGGCGGGTTGTTGCCAAAGGCAGAGGATTTCCATCAATATTTTAGGTGTGGCCGGTTGCATGCTCATTGTACGTGGTCGAATAACTGTATGAGTTAATAGGTGAGAATTGCTCCTCTGAGTAGGTGAAAAAACCATTGGGGTCGGTCTGAGGTTTACTTGCCCTGTCGCCACCCCTTAACTTTCACCAGTATCTTATACAACCTGCTTAGGCAATCCCGTAAGATTTCTTGATGCTTGGAAATTCCTGTATTCGATAAGAAAAAGTGATCTGAGAATGTGCTTGTTGGCACAAATGTCGAAAATTGACTCTCAGTCTTTGTTTCATGCTAGCAAGTAACTCTGTGATCTACGCAAGTGGGTAGCCGATGATTCGTAAACATTCAAGTTTCCTGAACAACTCTGAGCGGGGTAATTTATCGGACGTCTCACTGAAGTCTACGAAGTGACACCCACAGACTTTACGTCAACCTTGGACTTCGCAGGAAGGAATTTTGTGTTGTGGAAGCCTCAATGAAGGCCATGTCGTGAAACTGTCACCAGGGCGTTGCTTTCTGGGCGTGCCATAGTGACTTTCATGAGTACTTTCTCCAGCTTTTTAACCATGATAATAATCAGGCCTGTCGTTCCGTAATTTGTTGACTGGTGCCTTTAGCCTGCTTTGTGTCCTCCTAGTGATGTGGGAGTACGTCTCAAGTGAATGAAGATTTGGATTCTTTGGCCAACGTGCCAGAAGAAGAGGATGTAAATTGTCTGGACAGGCCTGCACATAGCTCACCGACTCTTTATTTTTCTGTGTCGAGTACCTACCGTCCTGAATATCCGCCCATTGAAATTCTCACTACTCGCTTAAAAACATTTTCAAACTGAATGAGATCCTAGAGATTCACCGATTATTGCCCCATGTACCGCTTTATAAGATCTTAAACCCTTACCTGTAACTGCGCTTGTTGACATATGATTGAATCGCTCTCACTAAATTCTCTGCGACGTTCACTGGGCTATCTCGGTTTAGGTTATGTGAGGATGAAGTGCCACTTTCATACTTGTCGTTTCTCTTGGGGTGCTATATGTTTACGACAACTAGTTTCAACATCCAACATCAGTATTGCAGCCTTAGGGGACCGATAAATTTTGGATCTCACACATCTAGTTCCTAAGGTTTGGTTCGTTTCGTTCGCTTCGCCCCTGCAGTGAGCACGAAGATCTGACCTGCTTTTGTCAGGAAGTGACCAGAAATAGAAGTCATCATTCAATGTCACTCGCCGTTGGGGCAGAAGTAGTTACGTTTCAGATCTTGGTTTATGTCTATCTGATTGGCTACCTAGTGGCCTCATTTTCTGAGTAACAGCTGTATATAAATACTGTATTTGTCGAATTAACTCGTTTCCCTCAGGTCACTCACAGGTTCTTCTTCATCTTATGATTTTCTAGGCTCAGTAAAATATCAGGTGTGGCGGAAAACAGGCGCGTTACTCCTATCCAGTCCAAGTATTTTGTCGCCTTATTACTCGTTCCGCTTACTAACAGAACCCAAGTCCCAGCCCCGACCCCGTCACATCATGGGTTGACGACCTTCATTTGTGGATGGAGATGGTTGGGGAGCTAGGGGTTGTTGGAATGATTTGAGGTCTTTTGAGACTCCCGTCCGTAAAGATACCTGAAATGGAACAGCGGGGTGGTGAGAAAGGGTGTGAAGAGCTTACTCAAGAGGTAGAAGTAGATAGCTTGGGTCTAGTTAGTGGAGGAGAGTTAGTAGATATTGGGAGTACATCGACGAGAGATGGTGAGCGGTAAGTAGGAGTAAGTGGAGGTGAGCTAGTGAGTTGAGCAATGCCCCCAATAAGAAGCCACGTAACTGTCTAACTGTCTTTGGAATGCGTCTGCTGAACAGGCTTTGACTAACCCCCCCGGTAAGGCATTCCGTAAAGCACATACTGTTAAGGAAGAAAAGTTAGGCCTGAGCTTAGTTTTAGGTTTCTGATGTGCTACCCTAGCTGCGTTCCATCGTGGGTACCACCATGTTGCGGAAAAGGTTTGTTTGTCTATGTGACTGATGGATCCCTGATAGATGGATAATCCTGTTGGCGATAATGAGTTCACCCCCTTTCTCGGATAGCCCAGAGTGAACGGATTCAGGTCTTTCAGTCCTTTAGGGTATGCATTCCCCTTAGTCCCATAACATGTTGCGTTGCAGATCTTTGTATCTTCTCGAGTAGGTTGAAGTGAGTCTCGAACGTTGGGGGCGCCAATGTATCAGGGATCCTTAGGTACAGCCTTAAGAGGGCATGAAGACCGTGAGAAACAGTTCTGTGATGACAGCACCAAGGAGTTTACTTAAGATGTATGGGGTAGTGTTCTCTGTAGCATTTATTTCTCCGCAGTTGGAGCTGGCTTTCAGGATATCCGAGACGTTGGGCTTCACCTTCTCCGTGAATACTTTGGTGATAACACGGTTACTCAGCTTGTGTTGGGATTCCCCCTCCCCATTTCATGGCACTGATGTGCCTCACCTTGAACTTCTATGGGTTGAAGGGTAAGTCATTTTCCGGGGATTATGGTTCTCTCAGCTACGGGTCATTTTGGAATGCTCTACAGTTGGCCTCTTCGCTTACTGTAAGGACTGAAGTCCAGGTATTTCTACCTGAACGCTAAAAGCAATTTAACGGGACCAAGCTAGCTGGATGCAGGCAAGTTACTTCGCTCTGCGGCATTGTTTCCCAAATTTCTTTGAGTCACACAGTCAAAGATTATGTTTCAAAACACGAGTTGACGTGATTTGTGTGTCATAGATCCGTGATGGGTCTGTGGTAGTGCTGAACAGCAACAAGTTATGTCAAAATTACGGAAGTATCTCAACAATGCCGCTGGACAACTATACATTCCGAAAATCAGTCTGGTACAGAATGCTTACCTTACAACAGAAAATTGATTAGCCACATACCTGCGAATCAACAAGAATATTCCTGCCAAAATGGGATCAAAGCTCTGCCTGAGTCGAATCAATGAATAAACATTTCTTGTAGGCAGTCAAAAAGATGAGCAGTTTGTTCACGGCGCAACATTAAGGTGGACCAGAACAAAATGTCGAAAACAGTAAAACAACGCCGAGTTATCAACAGTGCGACAACACACAGCGGCCAAGTGAAGCACCAGTGGTAAGCCTCAATCAAAAGAGGACGGATAATGAGCATTAAGCCAAAGGGGACGAACAATGACGAAATAATATTACCCCAATTAGGGTTGCTGGATAATATCCACAGTGAGGTTGAAACTATTCAAATAAATATCAATACGTTTTGGGTGTGGATGGGGATTTTGATTTGGGGATAGTATCCACTGCGGATTGGCATCGGCTGTCCAGTGCTCCCAGGGTTTCAACGGTTCACCGACTGATGTCAGCCAGGGCTGCAAACTATCTGTAAATATCAACATCGTCAGATTGCTCAGGAGGGAATTTCAAATCTTTTGTTCGTTGTATTTACCACCCACCAAACTTCAGTCACCGGTGAAGAGGAAGATGGGTTAGGAACTTTTGTGTGACAGACTGTTGGCGGACAAGAGGAACAAAACTGGTCCCTAGATTGCTTCCCGGGACCCCGATGTCGTCGGCCTCCCATCCGACAGTATTCTCTTCCCTTTGGTGCGCAACTGTCTGTCTTCTAGGGACTCTTTGAACCAGGAACTCAGAGGTTCACTTACGTCAGCTGACGCGTTCTTGCGATTTAGTGCTGCGAGCGGGACACTCCCAAATGCTTTGGCTAGGTCGGGAAAAACAATACGTGCCGGTTTTCTGCTGCCTCAACCACGAGTCCAACCATCCCGTGCAGTCAGCAAGTTGATGGTGTATGATTGACTGCTCCGAAGGCCGTGATGAGTGGCATTAGCGGTAATTTTCTTGTCAAAGAATTCCCGAATCTCGTCGGTCATTAGGCCTTCCTATACTTTTGACTGTGTGGGGAGTAGGGGAGTCGGTCTGTAGCTGTAAGAATTTTCCTACCTTGGTGATGGTTGACAAGATCGCACACTCTCATTCTTTGAGGAGCATGGATGACCGCGCCAAGTGCTTGAAGAGGTCGGGGGATGGTTTCACGGGCACCTCGGCGCTGCTCCTTAGGATCACTGGTCTCAGGTTGTCACGGGCAGGGGGCTTGTCTGGATGGAGCCAAGATAGTTTTTCTGATGCCTTTTTCCGTGTGATAGGGATGTGTCAAAGTGATCGTTATTTTGAGTCTGGCCGGCCTCGTACCACGCTGGTGCAGATTTAGCATCGGGAGCACCAAGCTGCTTTTCGAAGTATGAGCTCAGAAGCTCGCTTGTAACCCCCTCACTGGGTTCTTCTGATAGCTGAACTGTTGCTGCCGTCTATTATGCTAGAGCGGCTTCTGCAGTCGAAGAAGTTGGACTCCCTGAGTGATGAGCCCCACTTGAACCAACCCTGCTTTTTAGTCTGAAGGAGACAGAAGGTTCGCACCTACGGTCTGGGTGTTACCACCGGCACACTGACTGATGGCCCCAGGAATTATTTCTCTCACCTACGTCCACTGCTGATCAACTGTGAGACATATCCAGCCTACAGGCCATGATGCGTAGATGAGATAATCTCTCATGGTCTCGTGGTTAACCTGGCCGCAGCAAAGGAAGGTGTTGTGTATCGTTGGTGGCAGAGTTTCCTAAGTAATCATAGAAAAAGTTATTGCTGCATGGTCACTGAGAAATGGAAGTGGTTGGGTACATACGTTATCAGTGGGGAGATCATCGCTTGTCAGAACACAGCCCAGGCGCTACCCATTTCCTCCAGGCCCTCAACATATGGCATCACCCACTTTCTCTGGGGGGCCAGCAGTCCCAGCCGGACTCATTGGGCTTCTAACTGAAGGACCTAGTATGCCTTCCTTTAGTCTCGAGGGGGCTGGCGGACCGTTGTTTTCGAACTCTTTTTTATTATCTTTTGGTGTCGGTCCTACTCTGTCTGAGATGGTTAATGACTTTTGCGTTGTGGGGGGTGGCTCTTTAGGCCCTTTCGTGGCTGTCTTTTCATAAAATTTCAGTGCTTTTGTGGCACCCTGCTGTCACAGTAGCACTGTGGCCATTAGTGACATAAGTTGCATGCAGATGCCCCAGTGACCACAAATACTACCTCAATATTGATACTGAGGTCATCAGATGACATGGTGCAACTTGGTTTTAGGGGGGTGTGGTGCCGTAGTTTGTAGCGAACTTCTTGTGGCTACCTTATCCCTGCGCTTGTCTCGTCATTTACGCCTCCAAGGTGTGGCCTCATCCCACCTAAGGAGCGGAACTGGCTGGAGAAATAATGGGTCTGCTCTGCGTCATCTGCGTGGTGGTTAGGTCACCCTAGAGTCAGGAGGTGACCGCTTCTTCGGGGGATCGGTATTTATCTCCACCTTCAGTTGGCAGTGGATACATTTTAGAACGTTGTCTCAAGGGTCACCGTCACTTCTAGGGTACGATTGCGTTATCCACATCAGTCTAGGATCTGCCCTTTTGGACCGGGATAAGAGTATTGTAAAAATGAGTTTAACAGTGGTAGGGAGAATAAAAACCAAGCACAGCAGAAGGGAAGAATGTGCAAAGAGGAACAATTTGTGTTGGCTTACCTTCAGACACTTGTCAGTCGGTCCTGTGCACTTGGTCGGTGAGTTTAACCGTGAGCCCCAAACGGCACCATACAATTTTTAAGCACACTGTAAAAACAATACTTAAGTAGTCAAGGCATACGGGCATGAATGAGTTATGTGATCAAAGTGCGAAACAAAGATGAAGTATCAACGAAAAAGCGACAGTTACGCAAACTTTTGGCTTGCGTTGCTAAAACTATTGTGGTTATTCACTTCACAAGCATTCCGGCACTGCTATTGCATTTTATTCTCAATCTTACGTAAGTGCACGATTCTTGCAAGTTCACCGCATTTCAGGTACTACAAGCGTAACGTGTAATATCTTTGTTTTGAGTACTGGTAGTTCTCTTCCTTTTGATTTCGTCACAAAGAGTTATTCTAAGGTTGATTTCCGTCGTCTTTAATTCACAAGCAAGGATTGCGATTTTTTGCAGCCTTATACAACAGGAGATTTAGTCACTGGTTTTATGATGACTGTCTGCTGAACTTTTGCCGAAAAGTAAGCTCCGTTACCTCTCGGCAAGGTCTGTTTAGACCATAACGTTTTCTCTTTTACGTCCCCACAGTTTTGAGTTTCGTGATTTCATTGTAAATATAGTTTTTTACCTTATTTTACCGGCTTGGGATATTTTAGCCACTATGGATGCAAATATTGGTGATGCAGTTTAAGTATTTAACGGTTAGAGCCATCGTGAGGTTGTTTCTGTATCACCAATCTGTGTCATACCGAAGCCGTAATTCATATAGGCATACACCATTCTTCTGTTTAACACGACATGCGACAGTTGGACGCTTCTGCTTCCAAAAGCAATAGCAGCCAAGTTATCTGAGTTACCCTTGATATTAATCCCTTCTAGTGTCACATTTTTCGAGGCAAGACTTCATAGTTCTGTGACGAAGGAAGTGGTTCTTACTGACCTGGTTGTGAAGCCCAGGATTAAGGTTTCTGGGCCAATTTCGTCTATTATCCTCCTGTGATTTGCATGATCTGCCACCCTTTGGGTATCACTTTGCACTGCCAGATATCCTAGACTACAGAAAAGCAAAAGTTCCTCTAAAACAGACGCTGACAACGCCAAAAAGGTGATAAAACGTGTCTAGTGCTTGCAAGACATCGTAGTATTCGTTGTACCTGACAGTGCAACAAGATTAAAACATACTTTACCAGGGGAGTATGAGAGGGCGATTTTGTGGTGTATTCGTGGACGGACTCGCAGGGCCATATCAAGAGTGACCTACCATCTCTTGCTACAGCTTGGCAGCCCAGTAAAAGCTGGACACTTCATCAACAGTCAGCAGTTGGTCGGATGTTTGAAAAATATTCCTTTGAATGATATAGGTTTTAAGTGGCAGGAAAGTTACTTAACATCATGCCCACTAAAGTGCACTTCACGCGCACACCAAACAAGGAAACTGTCCAAAGCCTGCTCTTATTGCATATAATTGCATTCAAACCCCATTCACACACCCCACCGACTTTTGTGATCAACTCAGCCCCAAAGTACAGTAGACGACTTAAATGCAGACAGCACAACCAGACAAACAAATGACTATCTTCGCTTCACTGAGACATTTCCTACAGTCAGTGGTAACGTATCAGTTGTCTCTAAGGTTCCAGCGCATGTGAACTGAGATTTGAGGTCTATGAATAATTAGCACTTAAACGACAACTCACAGTGGGTTCTCTCCCGCCAAACCCAAGTCGAACAGCTTAACAACAAGTTCGCTCTTGAATCCAAACCGTGGAAGTAGACATTCAAATTCAACTATGTGGAGGACATGCCCTGTAAATGCATGTCGCTGTTTTAGTCGCAGTGAGCACGAAGGTTGCTGCGCCCACCACAACAGTCCTATCAGAAATACTGGACTATGACGTGTGAGGTAGCGGGAAGTGCCATCACTTCATGACATTCCTTTCGGAAATGTCAGCCTGGAATTCTAAAATACTCTTCAGAATGACCCATCTAATGACAAGGACTGCAGTCTTCTAGACCTTGCCGACCTGACTATTGGTTCCATGGCACCGCAAGCAATCAATCTCCCTATCTTCTCCTATTTAAACCTCGGTGAAGGCGTTGACTTCAGAGCAGCTGTTTTCGAAGACCGTCTTCGTCGCCTCACATATTTCATGTCTACCCGACTGAAACCACAAGTGATGCACCACCTAAACTTTTTAATGAACTTTCACAATCTTGTTTATTTGCATGGCTCCTCCCAGCTCCTCTCTTCAGCTTTTTGACTTATCCCTAAGTCATACAATCAAAGCTGCTGGTTGAAGTTGAGAAAACGGCATCCTTTAGGAACAATAATCAGCTGCCACTTCGTACATCACTTCTCGTCCATCTGAATCTCGTTTAGGTAGGTACTGTTTGCCGCTAGGCTGCTTCTCAGAGCTTTTTGTAGACTGTCATTCGACTTTTGTACTTGTCCGAAATAATACCCGCCCCATTAGCAGAAAAACTTCTGATATGCATTTCCCCGTAGCTTTCTATAGCCCTTCCGCATTACCAGTAACCTAGGGGTGACTGTCAGATGATTTGGGTTATAGTTTGATGAATTTTCCCGACTTTGTGCACACAGAAAAATGCGGCTATATTGGGCGGGGAGGTGGCTGCTTTATTTTCGCTGGGAGTTTGTATGATTCTATGCCATGTGAGGATTTAAGGCTGCGAGTACCGACGTGTGTAGGTTATCCTCGGCACTTCTGATTATAACATGGTGCCAGTAGGATGTTTACACCGCATACCTGACTCCAACAACAAACTATCAGACCTCGTTTGTTATACGTTCAGGGCTGTCTCATACTACCCCAAAAATATAGCAGGTTATTTCAATGTGCCTGACATCCACTGAAATCTTATGAGCCGCCCGAACGTCATAACCAGTTTACGTATATGGCGGAATTTCATGGTCAGACCATAAAGGTATCCCCACCCACTCATCGAAACAAAATATTCACACGTAGTCTGTATCTTGCCAGTACACACCTTAGGTCAAACTTCTGAAATGGTAATCATAATACAGTTCATTCAGTCTTCGAAATAACACCTGCAGGAGGGGCAAGTGGCAGTCCCTGGATAAAAACGGCTAGACACTTCTTAAAAGCTAGACGCAGATCATCATTTTTAGTCTGTTATCAGGCTTTGTTCCAGTCATTCACATCAACTGACGTTGGCAAGATACCTGATGACTCAAATTGCAGCACATAAGCATGCTTCGATTATCTTGTTTCCTGTTACGCGCTCAAACACAGGGTAGCGAAGCTAAATTGAGCAAACCAACTTGAGTGCTGCAAACCAGTTGACCTATGGATGCTAATTAACATCCGTAACATTTATAATAGCCGGACAATCACTTGAAAATTCGTAAGGAAAGGTTACTGGCCCTCAAGGAAGCTTCAAGATCAGATTCCCTGGCAAACTTGGAAAATATGCTGAATAGAAATCAGAAAAACATCCAAGTTATCCTTCATGTTACCACGATCATCAAGAATGATACCAAAAATGCTGAACTTTTTGGAAAGCCCCGTTCTAATCCTTACACGACTGACTGCGACGGGGTCGGCACTGAACTTAGGATGCGAAGAGTCGAAACAAACTCAGGTTCAGAATTGTTGTTTGAAGATAGGAGGCCGGGAGCCTACATTGACCCTTTTCCAGTAGGTTTCAGAGCTTGTCCAATCCCTCTTTGAAAGAGCCAATCGATGATACGGACACGTCCTCTGAAAGTCGGTTACAGGCATTTATTACTCGATGCGAAAACCAGTATGTTCGTTCTTTGCTTTTGTAGTCTTCTACTATGTCCTGTAAGGTGTTCCGACCTGGTGTGAAGCAAAGGAGAAGACACATGACATCCGAAGTCATTTCTCAGAATCCTGTGTGGCATGATTAGGTCTGCCGTCTGTCTGCGATGGGGCTAGGTGAAGAGGTTTAGCTCCTTGAGTCGGTTTTCATAGATGAGGCCAGCCATCGAAGGGATCATACGAGTGGCTGCCCTCCGGACTCCTTCTAGAGTGTCTGTGTCACCTTCCAGACAAGGATCAGCCGCCTGTGTACAGCTTTCTAATTTAGATCTAACTAAGGATGTGTATAAGATAGTGAACATTATTATTATTATTATTATTATTATTATTATTATTATTATTATTAGTCCCTTGGGTTCCGAGTGGAACATAGGGCTTCAGTAGCACGCCTCCAGTGACCTCTGTTCTCTGAGATCTTTTGAACCTGGTTCCACGACAGCCCAGAAGCTCTCATTTCCTCCTCGCATGACCTCCTCCATGTCACCCTCGGACGTCCAACTCGTCGCTTCCCATAGGGATTCCACTCGAGGGCCTGACGCGTGATGTCCTCAGTCGGCCTTCTCAGTGCATGCCCAATCCATCTCCACTTCTTCCTGCATATTTGTTGCGTGATAGGTTCTTGGTTGCTTCGTTCCCAGAGTTCCTTGTTGCTTATTTTTTCTGGCCATCTGATCTTCAGCAGCGAGCGTAAGCAGTTGTTGATGAATGTCTGTAGTTTATTGGAAATACCTTTCGTGACGCGCCAAGTCTCTGAGCCATACAAGAGCACTGACTTGACGTTGGTGTTGAAAATCCGTATCTTGTTCCGCATGCTGAGTGCAGAAGATCTCCACACTGGTTTCAGGCTAATGAACGCCTGTCTTGCTTTTCCGATTCTGACTTTGACGTCCTCGTCCGTCCCGCCTGTAGTTGAAACAGTGCTTCCTAGATAAGTGAAGGAGGTTACTTCCTTCAAGTTTCTCCCGTTGACGGTGATTGGAGTTTGTTGTTGTTGTTGATGGTGGTGGTGCGGTATCTTCATCACTTCTGTCTTCTCTATATTCACCTGAAGTCCCGTCTTCGCTGCCCTCTTCTGTCAACTTGTTAGTTTTTGCCTGCAGATCTTCAAGTTTATGTGACATTAGGCACAAGTCATCGGCGAAATCCAAGTCTTCTAGGTTCTTTTCCGTCGTCCAGTGTATCCCCCTCTTCTCGCTGCCTACTGTTTGCTGCATGATCCAGTCCACCACAATAAGGAATATCATGGGGGATAGTAGGCAACCTTGTTTCACTCCTGTCTTCACTTCAAAGGCATCACTGAGCTTCCCATTGTGGATTACTTGGCATGTGGCATCTTCATATAGTTGTTGAATGAGGCGGATAAAGGTTTGCGGTACTCCGTAGTATTGAAGCAGTTTCCAAATTACTTCTCGGTCGACGCTGTCAAAGGCCTTCTCAAAGTCGATGAAGTTGAGGTATAGAGCTGATTGCCATTCTACGCTCTGTTCTATGATGATACGAAGCGTTGCAATTTGGTCAGCACATGATTTGTACTTCCTGAAGCCTGCCTGTTCCGGTCGCAGTTTTGAATCCAGTGCGTCTTTAAGCCTCTCCAGGATGATGCGGCTTAATATTTTACTTGGGGTGGACAGGAGAGTGATTCCGCGCCAGTTCTTGCAAGCACTGAGGTCTCCCTTCTTCGGCAGTTTGACAAGGTAACCCTTCTTCCAATCGTCAGGTACCTTCTCTTCCTTCCACACCTTCTGCAATAGTGGTGTGAGCATGTCCGCTGTTGTCTCTGCATCTGTTCTCAGTGCTTCTGGCGGTATTCCATCTGGTCCTGCTGCTTTCCCGCATTTCAGTAGCTTTATGGCGTTCAGGACTTCCATTTTCGTTGGGGGATTTATGTTCACTTGTAATTCAGCGGCTGCAGGTGGTATTTCTGGACGAAGTGCAGGTGGTGGTCGATTCAAGAGCTTCTTGAAGTGGTCGGCCCATCGTTTCCTCTGTTTCTCTTCTTTTGTAATTAAATTTCCTTCTTCATCTTTTATTGGTTTCATCTGTGTTGGTCTCTTCCCTGATAGCAACCTGGTTATTTGATACAATGTCGTCAGGTCTCTCTTACCTGCAGCCTGTTCTGCTTCACTTGCCAGTGTGTCGTAGAAGTGTCTTTTGTCTTTGCGTGCACTCTTCTTCACTTCTTTGTCCAGTGTTTTATACATTGTGCTCAGTTCCTCTTGTCGTTGAGCATCCTTGCACTGGTTTATCTTCTGCTTCACCATCCTCCTCTCCTCTATCAGCTTCCAGGTATCCGTCGAGATCCATTCCTTGTCTTCTTTCTTCTTCCTTCCTAATACGGCTGTGCAGGTTTCTTTCCACATAGCTTTCAAAGACTTCCAGTGTTCTTCCACACAGGTTTCTTCAGGGATGTCCCTCGACGTCTCCCATTTTGTCTTGATGGCTGCTTTGAAGATCTCCTTTGTAGTTTCATCCTTCAGTTTCCGAGTGTTGTACTTGAATTGAGGTCTATCACCAGCTTCCTTGAAGGCTTTTAACTTGATTTGGAAGGTTCCTTGCACTAGATAGTGGTCTGAACCTACATCTGCTCCTCTTCTTGACCTTGTGTTAAGTAGACTGCGTCTCCATTTTCTTGAGATTGAGATAAAGTCGATTTGATTTTTAGTGTGTCCATCTGGTGAAGTCCATGTCGCTTTGTGGATATCCTTGTGCCTGAACACACTGCCTCCAATCACCAAATCGTTGAATGCACAGAATTCTGCAAACAATTCTCCATTCTCATTCATTTCACCTAGCGCCTCTCGACCCATGGTTAGTTCTCTTCCCGTGTTGTCCCCTCCCAGTTTGGCATTCATGTCGCCCATTAGAATTTTGATATCGCCAACTGACGTCTTGTCCAGTGTTGATTGAAGTTGTCTGTAGAAATCCTCCTTTTTCTCTTGCTCTGCATTATTTGTAGGTGCATAACATTGTATGATTGTGACCTTTCTTCCTTTTGAGTTGAATCTTGCTGTCATGATCCTGGAGGAGATTGGTTCCCACTGCATGAGAGCCTTCGATGCTCTTGAGGACATCATGATAGCCACTCCCTCAGTGTGCTCGTGGTTGGCGTCTGGGTGACCGGAGTAGATTATTGATTCTCCAGTTGACAGTTTGGAGAGTCCACTCCCATTCCATCTGCTTTCGCAAATCCCAAGCACTTCGATGTTATACCTTCTCATCTCCTTTGCAATCTGGGCTGCCTTACTGGGTTCAAACATCGTGCGGACATTCCATGTCCCCACGTTTACTTTCGCTTTCATCGAGAGAAGACACATCGGCCAATTGGCTTCCCGAAGGCTTTCACCAACTGGCGTCATTTCGCCTCTCCGATTCCAGCGGGGAATAAGTTTGTTTTCATTTTTTATATTTTGTTTGTGCTTTGAAGTTTCTTTAGCGGTTAGATTTGTTTTACGGGGTAGGGTTGCTAGCCCTATGCCCAACCTTCCCTCTTTACCCGGGCTTAGGACCGGCTAGTAACTAGTAAACTAGTTAACCAGGCGAGGTTAAGATAGTGAACATATCACCACTTATTTTCGTAAACTTTCTACGTAATGCCCACAGAACCCTAAAACTGCGGCCGCCGCCAATCTACAGTGAGCCGTGGTTTTCGGGCCATAGCTCACTGTGACTCGTAGGTTATAGTGGGCCAGTACAGATGGTAGAGGGGTCCCAACAATATTCGGTATTCGGCTGCTCATTTATATATAGGAGAAATACCAAGAGACCAGGGCTGTGCCCTGCGGCACTCCTTTTTCCACCGACTTCCAGGTAGAGAGTTGAGAATTAATCCCAACTTTTGTCTCCTAAGAACAAGGAACTCTGTGATCCATGCCAATAGATTGC